AATAGCTTAATGAGATTGTTCAAGACGGGAAGGACTTGAAGAGTAAACAAAAATGTTTCATTGTGGGAAGAAGCGCCTTTTATGCCGATAATTCAGACCTCATGTGAGAAAGACGAAGTATCACATCAATAGGGAGCTATTAGCCTCTTTCCTCTTACATGAGGAGCTTATGACCGTGGATGAGTGTGAATAGAAGGAAATGGGAAAAAATGGGAGGAAATGGGAGGAAATAGGAAATGATGCAATAACTAAGCAAAAAATGTGCTTAGTTGTGGGACAATTTAGGTGACAAAGGAGAAAGTCATAATATAAATTGGGGGGAAATGGGAGGAAATGGGAGGAAATGGGAGAAAATAGGAGAAAATATTAGGACAAAAGTACTACTGGTTTGTGATTATGTACTTCCCTCTCTAGGCTATGTAGCCGACTAAAAAGTACTATCAGGATGCAGCAGATCATTGGAAGTCAAATAATTGTGTAAAGTACATGGTTATTAGGAGAGATAACTAACTAGAATTGAGAATTGGCCGATTACCTAATGATGCTTTTCAGAAAGTGGGAGGGGTTACATCATGTGATGAGCTCTTGTGTCATGAGGCCGCAAAGCCCCTCCCTCTCCAACTGCCCAACGTGACTTTATCCTACGCACTTTCTCGCAAAAGTCACCGCTGATCTTATGGCCTTGCATAACTGTGACGCTAGGACTCGGAAGGCTCGACTGTAGTCATTACTGGCTTTTTTCTCTTGCTCCTATCAGATATACGCTCCAAACTTGAAGCGAACGAATGGCCACGAGCGAACAAACACCTTTTCGGAAAGCGGCATCGCTCGATGACGAGGGGTTTGAGAAGGAAGTAAAAGATTTGCTTGTAAGTTTGCTTGATGTCGTGCCTACGTGCCGCAGCTAATTCATTAGGGCGGAAAAGAAGTCACCCTAGATAAAGAAAGATTCGACGTGTCTAAGCGATATCTCGATGCGAAAACAGCCTGCGCAGTCCTCATCCACGAAAATGGCCCAGCCGGAGTGGTTCATACCCGCAATGGAGCAAGTAAAGTCGAAATACTTCCCACAGGCCCGACTGCAGGAAACGGTTTCAGAATTGTCATTTTGGGTGAAACACAGACTTGCCTATTCTATGGACAGCCCTCCGTTCGCTGTTTCCACGTTTGCGAGGACTGAAAACCCACTCATCGATAGAAATTCCACGAATGAATAACTGAGTTCCAACGACAGCTCTATTTTGACATTTATACCTGGTGGAAGGTCGAGATTGGTATGGATACAAGGAGGGGACAAGTTCAGCCACGAATAGGTCAGTTGTAGGCCGGAGGAGTTGTGAGCTTTTAAAAACTCGCAGAGTGCTCGGAAATGTGGATGGCTATCTTGAAACTGGCGAAAAAATTCGAGGAACTGTGTTGCAGGCAGCGAAATTGTCTCTTGATCTACCAGAGTTGGCAAATTGTGTCCCGACAAGCCTTATAAAGTTAGAATTTTCTCTCGCAAGTCGGCTATGATGTACAAACCAGTGTTTTCTGGGAATTCATTCAACTGGTCCTCTGTTGATCCAGGCAACTGTAACTGCGGCCTTGAAGTTTGTGGTGTCTCCTGTCTTTTCTGTCGCCGGCTAGCTTTCCTATGCATATCTTTCCCGGATTTCTTCGTCTCTATTTCGCATGTCAATGGAGTCAACGTGTATCAAAATCAAAGGGCTATTTACTTTTGCCATTTTGATTTTTGTACTGAGGTTCGTTTTCAAACTCAGAAACCAACCCAATTGCTACGTCCTCAACGTCTTGGGACAAGGTTTGGTCATTCAACCAAGTCTGGAAGCGGGGAAATAAGTCACAATGCTTTATAGTGGCAAGCTGTGTAATTGATGCGGATAATGCAAACAAAAGAAGCACGCGTGCTCCCAAGGAGTAAGCATTTCTCAAGTGCTGGCGTGCGTTCTCTCGTCTGCTAGATGTCTGCGGTGATGTCGTACTCCCACCATTTTCCTGGAGAAGAGCATAGCAAGATTTGAATGCACGGCGCTGTCTTGCGTCCAACAAAGGTCGTGGAGTGTCCAAAGCAGTTTTTTGTTTGGATAGTGACCGGAAGAACTCATCTGCTGATGACATAATACTACCGTGAGAAAATGGAAAATTATGATAAGAAATGGGATTTCTTGGGTTGAAATACAGAGAAATCACTCACATGCGCAATCCTTCACCAAAGGGTTGCATTGCTACTGCAGTTACCCCTCATCTCGGGCCAATCAAAAATGCACATTTCAGCCCATTATGCGAGTTGAAATCACAAAATGTGTTGCAGCTAGCTTGCAAGCGCTTGAAGCTCCATCAAAATGCGGGGTTTTCCGTGGGCGAGTGTTGTTTCAAGTACAGCCAATGCAATCAGTGTTATCGAAAAGGTGGGGGATGTTCTAGTGGGGAAGCTGCGCAAGTTGTCGCCCGTTCACTTCGACTAGACTCATGAACGTGCTTCGTGTGTGATATGCCGGTGTTCTGCACACTATTTTGAGGGTTGCTGAAAAATATTGGCTTGAGAGATTCATGAGTGGCTGGCTGATCCGTTCTTCTATGGCCAATGGCAGTCAGTACATAACCGCCAGCCCCCTCTCCGCCAACCAGTTCGTGCTCCCATGCATAGTCATTGCAGTTTTACTGCGTGCTGCAGCCAGTCAAATAAAAGAGAAACAGAGGGCGTGACATAGTGGCTATTCATGGAATTTTTACGTGAGGTCCACCAAAGGGCCCCGCCGTTTCTTGAGCGTCTCCCAATACAACTATGAATCCTTTCCACCTCCCGGGGAAGGGGTTTCTGCGAACCGCCTCGTCACCTGTAAATAGCTGCGATTTTGCTCAGCCCTGGACTTTACCAATAATTATGCCTGTTCCATGGGGTGGCTCGAAGGAGGCATTGGCCGTCCCCCGCTGGGGGCGCTAATGCATGGTGGTCACTTCCAATGCCCCGGAGCCTTTTCCATTCCTGGAGCGACTGGGAGGCTCAGCAGCGCAGTCACGCGTCAAGGCGTTTTCTCAGCCGCACAAATTGAATCAATGAGAGCTATCAGAAGCTCAAGAGGGGTATTTATCACCGCTCCAATGCTCTCTTTTACCCCGCTCCACACGGACTCGCGCGGATTCTCTGAAACAGAGGGAAGTTAGATGAAGGGAAGAGTACTTTGAAAACCATATAAAGGTACAAGGTCACAGGAGTTTACTGGAGGCTCCTGATTCTGTGTTATATCCAACAAAATTCTACGGAAATTTTTTCACAACATCCCAACTCCATTGGGAACCGACACAAGCTGAAACTCGTTCAAAATGAAGTGCCCTCAGTGCGGTAAAAACAACATGACTGGGAGAGAAAATTGTGAATTTTGTCGTGCTGAGCTCCCTGCATCCATGTCCCGCCCTTATGTCCTCATTAAGGTACGTCTCAATCAGTTTCAAGTTTAATCCCAACAACATTGGCGACTAAAGATGAAGGCTTTTCAAGAAGCAAATCAGCACTACTACGATGGAGGAAGAATAGACAAATGACATAAGTCATCGGAAACAATGTCACTCGTTGCTTTTACTGTGGAAGATCATTGGAACAATAGCTTCATTTCTATTCTCAGACCTGATTTGGCAAGTTGAATCCACAACTGTTCAAAACCCTCAATCCTCTCTCGTCCAATTTCGGATATTTGCGCAATGCCCAGAAATCCAGCCAGAAATTGCGAGCCTCAGTATGATCCGGAAGGTGCTTGCGTAGAAGGTCTTTCCATTCTTTGTCCTCTTGACCAAGACCAATACCTGCGGCAGTGAACTCCCACCAAACGGGAAAATAGCCCGAAGATTCCCAGTCCAGAATACCCGCCAAATTACCATTATCCACGATGATATTGACATTCGTAAGGTCGCAGTGAGAAAAGGTATAGGGGGCAGCAGTTGGCATACGCTGTCGTAATTCCAAGCGAACTTTCTCTGGTACATTGCTCAATGCCAATGACATCTCAGCCCACAGCTCATCATCGGATGAAAACGGCCCATGTCCAATGCCATAACCATTGGGGAATAGAAAAGCGGAATACAGTGGCTGTCCGTCTAAGCTTTCCATTCGGCTCGAATGAAGTTTGCGAAGCTGAATGACGTATTCAGCGGTCTGTTTTGCAATGCGTTCTTTGTCTGTCCCGCACATCGTTGGCCAAGCTTCATTCAAGGGTTGACCATGAATCCGTTTGGTTAGCAGGAAATATGTCCCGTCATCCTCTTTCCACTCCTCAACAGCCTTGGGTATAGGTATTGAAGTTTTTTCGGTCAAAAATTGCAAGCTGGCAGATTCGAAATTGGGTGGCTCAATAGACCGCTCTTTGAGGATGAGGTTTGAACCCAGAGACCACGCTCCTCGGTTGCTGACGCCGTAAAAGATTTTCACATGACTATTATAGCGACACTCCTCTTGACGAGTTGGTGACCAGCTACATGCTGAGCAGATACTTCCGGCATCCATCTATGATATAGATGGCAGATATGATCTTGTCCCAAGAAATTTAATACGAATCTTTGAAAATGGAGCAGTCTGACGCCTTTATACACAGACTTTCCTAAACAACCACACCGCAATTTTCACCGCCATTTTCACCGCCAGCACTGCCCCTAGTCCATCCAGTCCAGTAAGACGAGTGGCAATACTGATGCTAAGCTTCGCATTGGCGTTAGCATCCTCCTCCGCTTAGCCGGACGTAATAAGGTCGTAGTCAACGTAGCTGCAATTCATTGGTAATCTTATGTAGACCATATACAGTGACCCACTGTTCGCAATGTCAAAAAGCTATGTTGTAGTTCCAAGAGGAGAGTGGATGTGTGGTTGACTGCGCTCAATGGCGGTCAGCCTCTTGAAATATGCGCAGGGGCTTTTCGCTTGGAAAAAAAAGTTTCAATTTTTGCTTTCAATCCCCAGTCGAAACTTATCTGTTACAACAAATTGACCTCTTTACAAGATGCACATAATGGGTGAATCGCTTGAGAATGGTTGTGTCGCATGTGGGTGGACACTTGACAAAGAAAGACGATGCCATTATACTAGCCACCTCAAACTCTTCTATGGTGCATCTACACGAGGTGTATGGTCTATCGGATCAGATGCAATACTGAAAGACCGACCTGACGAGGGTCCCAAAGCAAAAATCGAAGTGAAAACATTGGAATATTTAGCGAGCAATACCAATATTCCCATCCCAAAAGTTTTACGAGACTGGGTTGATCGAGATGGGCGCTACTTCGTTTTGAACGAACGCATCAGTGGCCAGACGCTCGAGGAGGCATGGACTTCTCTGTCAGAAACCCAAAAAATGGATGTCGCGGATGAAGTCGTGAAAGTGAGAAAACAGCTTCGATCCGTCACGTCGGCCTCTATTCAGTGTGTCGATCAAAGCCCATGCTACCCAGGCTTATTATTCTTCGACCTTGAGCCCCGTGGGCCGTTTCACTCAGACCAAGAGCTATGGGATGCTCTGGCCCTGAATCTTTGCCATCTTCCTCAACAAGTTTTGGAGAATCTGAAAAAGCGTCTACCGAAGTGCGAGCCCTATGTGCTTACTCATTGCGATCTCAATTTGGGAAATATCATGGTCCGAGACGGGAAAGTTGTCGGTATACTTGATTGGGAATACGCTGCCTTCTTCCCTATCTGGTATGAGTATGTTTCGGCCTCGTTTGGATTTACAGACATGGATGTGGAATGGAAAAAATTGCTTCGAGGGCGCTTAGACGTACATGGCGAGGCGCACGAAAATGCCAAGGCATTCTGGACGGATATGTGTAACCTGAGACCGTACCCAAATCTGGATGAGAAAGGTCAGGAAACCTTGGAGAGACTGGCATAGACCCATTTTGGATTAGTGACAACATGCACTCCCAAGATCTTTGCTATATTGGATAGGTCCAACCATCATAGTCCCAATAATGCCAGTTTCTTTCCAATTGATGGCAGAGGATTCTAACCAGCTCCTGTAATCCAGTCCATTTTACCGCAAGGGCGCGAGGCTACATCGGGTTCATAGCCCATTCACAGCCCATAATCACCTGCAGTTTACCTCTAACAATTCTTGGTAACTTGCACTGATGGCTCTTGCGACGCACATGCCCATACCAGTCATCGGCCGGTCATGATCTTCTTGGGTATTCGATATGTGACGGTGGGGTAGCCTATGGATTTCCCGGTCGCAGTCAAGAATTTCATCATTGACCGACGTCAGAGGCGCGTGCGGCATATTTGCCATTGGCCTATGTCACCGAGCCGTGCAGTCGTATTTTCACTGACCGGGTGGGGAGGCAGAGGAGAGAATTGTCGATAACGACATGCGGGCGCCACGATCTGGGCAACCTGGCAACTGAGAGGCATTCCATGACATTGGGGCGGTGCAATGTAACCGTAGTTTGAGTGGATGGAGTAGGGCGTACCGTGTCGAGGACGTACGGATACCTGGCGGACGTGTAGACCGGTGGAATCGGAGATGAACGAGGTGCACAGGCAGAGGTAGGGCAGGTACAGCTTCGTTAGCAAGGTGCGCAGTCGCTCCCTTAGGGAGGCAGTAGCAGTATCGACCCAAAGTCACACGATGCCGCTACTAGCTGGATCATCTCAGTGGGGTTGCCCCTGTGCGACTGCCAATTCCAGCTGAAGGGGCGAAAACGAGTTGGGAATCGGATCGAGCGGCATCTCCGGTAAAATGAAAGGGGCAGTGCGTCGGGCTGGAAGTCAAGGCGCGTCGGTCTGTGGGGGCGATAGGAAATAAAGGGGGCGGCGATGAGTGCAGGATAGAGGAGTTGAGGTGAAGGAAAGAAAGACGAGGGGGCAGGTCGGCTCTTTTATGTCGGAGCGATGTGAAGGAGAGGTTACAAGACAGTGTATTGGGGCGCTAAACCCTAAAAGGCAAAACTAACCGCATGCAGTAATTCACAGGTCCGCCGTTTACAAAATATATATTTATTCAACAGGGTGTTGAAAATTGATGGTCAGAGAAGGCTTTGTACTTGGTAATTAATAAGCATCATTTCTAGCATTCTACTATGTTCAGCTCCAATGTCAACGCGCAATTTCCGATCTGAACAGTGATGGGTCTCCATGTAATGTCTGCAACCATAACCCCTACTCGAATGCCGTGTGATATAAACAAAATATTGTGACAGACAATCGCCACAAGCGAGTATAACAACCTCTTGCTAGCAATATTTTTCTAGCATGCGCAGCTGAGAATGGCTCGGTGGTTTTAGTGAATCTCTTACTTCGATATCCAGGGATACTTGTCAATGCGCAAGCCGTGGATGCTAAACCTCTGCTTTGGCTAGCGCGCCGCGCAGGGCAATATTTCGTGGTTGATTGAATACCTCCCTCGACAGAAAACGATTGACATCAACCAAAAAAGGCACCACGGAAACATCGCTCCTTCAGGTGGCAATTATCATGGAACATATTTCTATCGTTCACCATCTTCTGAACCATGGCGATAGAATCACTGTTAATGATCAGAGTCCCCAAGCATGGTCTGCACTCACCTTCGCGTCTGCCAAAGGGAACCATGAAATGGTCAAGTATTTAATGGGCCATCCCAACATCAACTTGAACGTGGCCCATGAGGATAAACGAACACTACTATGGTGGGCCGCAGCTTGGGGACATCTGGGGATTGTCAAACTGCTGCTTGCACATCCTCTCATTAAAAGGCGGTGGAAGGACTGTACTGGAAAGACAGCTCATGCTATCGCGAAAGATCGCGGTCACAGACATGTTAAGATGCTACTCCGAGTTTTTTAGGGAATATTCCATAGCCTCGGAATGGATCAGGAACTAGAGACATGCTCAAAAGTAGAAGTTGGCAGTTGGCGTGAGCTGATTTCTGTTGCCATGTTCGTACTGGAAATTAATAAATCAAACTACGTAATGACCAAGTGATGACTATTTCAACGGACCCTCCGAATAGGGATGTGCAAATCTGCGAGGATTGGATAGCATACACTATGCAACTACTCACATATACCGGGTACAGGAACATTGATCCACCGGCGCCTAACATGCCTAACTTAATTTTTAATTTTACGTTTTTGAAGAACGAATTGTACTTTAGGCCACTAGGAATTCTTTACTAATAATCTTTGTGTGGCACAGGATTGCGACTTGCGTGTTAACTACCATATGAAGCACCCGTTCGTGGCTGCTTTCTTTTGTAGTAATATGTCAATAAACAGTTGGCAATCCGTGTCCAAAACGTCACGCAGGGTCTTTATTATGTCGGCTTGATAGAAGGCTGACCTTGGAGTATCCATACTAGCTCATAAGAATGTTACTGAGAGCTCAAGTGACAATGCAAAGTTTTGGTTCACTGAATAGCTCTATAAAGGGTAGCACGTATGTTTCCAAATTCCAGGAAGAAATAATTTTGCCATTTCCAACATTTACTTTCTTTGGAGCCTAGCGCGGAGGTTGGCATACTTGGAAGCACTATAGTCTAGTTGATTCTGACTCTGCTCCAGTGCATCAATTCCCCCAAGCGCAGCAACGACCTGTGTGCTATAGCGTCAGCCTATTGCAGTGAGTAGACACAAAAGACAAGAACCCACCGTTCCAATCAAACTGGCATTCCCAATCTTGTCGCTGCTGCTTTCCCACCACATTCCACCGCCAAGGCCTGTGGATTTGATATACTCCGCTTTCATTCGCGCAACCTCTGGTGTGTCATAGCTGATCATTTCCTGCTTTATCGGATCATAGCTGTAGCTTGCGACTGAGTGATTCAAGACATACTCTTTCACCCCCGTTTGTGGAAGGGCCTTGTAATCCCAAACTCCATCCTCCCAACTGCCACTACCCACGCCGACGAAATTCCTTGCTGGGCCAGCAGTGCCCATGAAAGAGCGTCCGTAGAGGGGCATCCCCAGTACAAGCTTGTAGGAGCTGATTCCATGTTCTTTGTAATAAATAATAGCCTGGTCGGTATTAAAAGGCGTGCTTAATGGGTCGGCTTCGGAAGCGTATAGATTGGCAGCATGACCAGACACACTGTCCCAGCTGCCAGTATAGTCGTACGCCATGATATTCCAAAAATCGAGATACTGGTCCATCTCAGCTAGCTGAAGCTTCTCGTAATGTGACGGTCCTTTAAACATCCTGTTACCAACATCTGGAATATAGAGCACAATTGGGTCACTTACCGGAAGGAGATGCGACTGTCAGGAGGAAGTGATGACCACCTACGTGTGCCGCACTATAGCTGTCTAAAGCCTATGCTAAGGTGAGCTAAGGTCTTGTCCACATTATAATTGTTGTCATGAGCATACCGACCGTACTTCCTTCAGAAGCGCAACCATGTCATTGGCTTGCGCGTCGTTCGCAGGATACTTTACTCACTTAGTATTGCCACCTGGCAACAATTTTATCGCGATGCACGTACCTCCCAGTCAATATCTAATCCATCAAAACCCAAATCCTGAACTAGCTGGACAGCCGAAGAGGCAAATCGCTTTCGTCCAGCACCGGTGCTCAACGGCTTGGCAAATTTGGCAGAGTATGACCATCCGCCAACGGAGAGGAGCACTTTCAGTTTTCGGTTTTTCTGTTTGAGAAGGAAAAGTTGTTTTGTGCAGCCATAGACGTTGGTACCAGCCTCATTCCAGGAATCCGTCGGATAATGCTTTTCCGTGTCGGCGTAAGTGTCCGAGAGATACACCTCTCCCGACTCCACCCGTATATTGGCGAAAGCGTAGAGCACATGCGTTAACTTTTCAGTAGGAAGTTTTTGAGGGTCAAAATTTCGGGCATAGATAGCCTTGCCGACTACAGTTAGGTCATCTCATGCCGACCCGGGGAAGGATATCAACAAACCCAGTTCACAAAATATGCCACAGAGAGAAACCCGAGAGCATCAGTCTGAGAACGAAGGTCAGTTTGTTTGGAAGTGTTGCTAAAAGCACTTGCAAGCCACCCTAGACCCACAATAGTCCAAGGTATGAGATGCATAGTGGGATATTTGTAGTAAGGCTTAGCTTTGCCCATGGCCAAAGGAAAAAGACAAGTACTTATATAGAGCGAACTCCTATCAAGCCATACCGTAATGATGTAGGAAAAACAACGAGGCCCTGAGCCGCAACTTCTTTGTCTCTAGTCCTTTGTAGCACCTGGTTTTCTGGATTATTACGTCACAGGCGACGCATCCGAACTCAATACTGAGCCACTCCAGTAAATGGAACTGATGTACGAACATTGGAACGGTGAAAGCGTCTCCGCCCGCAAATAGTAGGTAACTTTCACCATAATATTCCAGTGAAGTATATTAAGCCAGAATTGTGATTAATCCAACAGCCTGCATGAATTTGAGGACAAATTATTGCACAGGTCCCGATAAACACTTACCGCCAGGGTCTGCTTGAACATTTAAGAGCTCAGTCGCCCCACGATAGCGGCCATTATGCGACCGATTAGTTTCACTTGTATGGGATAAAATGTCTGACTTAATACACTTCGACCTTGGAATAGAAAACGAACAACCAACCACGTTAGGATCGCCATGTTCCACATGCGTACGCCATGATGATTCACAGGTTTACTCCAAAGGATACTCTTACCTCGATATTTCTACAATCCCACATCACGCAAAGCATGTCCACGATATCAACCGTCCAAGTTCTGAAGTCAGGGAACACCCCATATCACAAAAAAATCGTGGCAATGATGTATATCCCGCCATTAAGACCCCGATCACCGCAATTACTCCGCAGTTACCCAGCTTCGTTGGTTCGAATTCTTCAATTGTCATATCAGGACAAATGGACGGAAGGACCAAGGAATTCCCGACCGGGTTTGGACCCAACAACCCATCCAGGGGGCATCCTATGGAAAGCACGTTCTTGAATCAGCAGGACTACATATCACCACTCAATTTCAGCACAGAAATAATACGATTTCTCCAAATCAGCCAAGGAACTTCCATGCATCCACACGAAAAACATAAACGGGTGCAGCCACCCGTTGATGGCGAAAAAATTGTCGCTACTGAACCAACGCTTTGGCCAGTCCGATCCAAGCACAAGGCCTTGGCGCGTCCCAATGTGATGAACGTAAGCTCAATGAGAACATTTGCTTTTCGTAGCACAAAACGAATTGCGAGAGAAGTCATCAAAAACCACGTGCGATCAATAAAACATTACATCAATGAACAAGCAAACTTGTCAGGTGGTGAGATTCATGAATCGATCCTGCAGGAGCTAGCAAACAAACATCCAAAATATAGCCAGGTCATCCGCATGCTTCCGTTACTTTTAAAATACGTCCCAGAAAAGGTCAAAAAAGATTTGATGACGAAAGAGCACGCAGAAATAGTGAAAATCGGGATAATGATTATGAAGCAGTGGTCTTTATGGACATCATGATAAACCAAAATAGATTAGCTGTTGGCATTCAAGTTTATTTCCCTTTGATCGAGCCCCCTGCAACCACGCTGGTTTAACATGTGGAAAGCCTTCATTTTAATTTTTGGCATTACACCTTGCAAATGTGTAAATTGAATTCTCGTAAAAGTGAGTAATAACCTCGCATTATACTAAACTTTTCTCGCAACAGGAGGAAATACATACAAGCTATTCAAAAGCTGAATAAAGCCCCTTTCCCACAGGATATCATCAAAAGACCTGTGGCAGCTAAAGAATTTTTGTAAGAATCTGAAGGCGCTACGTAACTAGTCGACAGGTACGTAGACATAAATGTTTTGATGAAGCACCAGAACTTTAAAATTCTCAAACTGAGAGACATGATGATGATGATGATGAATTCATTTGCCCGATGTAGCTCGCTCTAAGTAAATGCTGCTATGCGGGAGTGCTATCGGGCCTGCCGACAGCTAAAAATGGTATCCAGCCCATTGTATCATGCGGAGAAGCTCAAAATATGAGCTTTTCTCCGATCACACTGAATGTAGAATAAAACTAAGACAAAAGAAAGCGGGCTGCAAGTGTTCCTTTACAACCACTTGGCCCGCAGGAAAATGAGTGTTCCCGGTCCTCACCCCTTTCGTTGGGACCCCCTGGTCCACCTCTCTTGACCCCAGCTCTCCCCTTTCTCCGCCTCTTCTTCAGCTGCCAGCAGGCACTTTTTGTGCTCGTTCTACTCAAGGGAGTACAGTGGACCTGGCATTGCACTCCTAGCGGGCTCAATTTCTCTCCTTCCGTCACTCTGTCCATAGGGATCATTCTTTCTCTACTTCTTCCGCTCCGATAGCTATTGGATCCAGCCCCTGGAACTGACCCAGGAGATTGGTTCTGATCATGAACTCCGCTACAATTGTGCGCGCCTTCAGGCGCGTCAACAATTCCTCATGGCGGAGCGTGATGCCCTGCTCAGACAGGGCATTGCGCATCTTGGCGCGCTCCTCTTGATGCAACGGGCACTCAAGTAGGACGTGTGTCACTGTCTGGTTGCCCAAGTCGCAATCGCATCGTGCGGTCTCGCGCCGATTGATGCGAGCTAGATACGCATTCAGTCCGATGCGCCCGGTCCGCAATTGCATCAAGACGGATGCAGTTGTTTTGCGTAAGCCCGACCAGTATTCCAGTGTTTTCTTGTTCGGTGTCTCGATCAACCTTCTGGTTGGTCGTCCGGTTTTCTCTGATGCCCATGCTCTCTCCCACTCGATCTTTGCCTCTTGGCGGAATCGGCGCTTTGTTGCTGCCGCGAGGCGAATGTATCGATTAAGAGGGTTTTGTGGATCGTCGGGTGCCTGGGCCGCTTCTTTTGCGTGCTGGTCTACGATCTCGTTGCCCAGTACTCCTTGGTGGGCTGGGATCCACCTGAGTTCGGTTTTAATTCCTCTCTCTGCCAGCCGGCGGATGAGGTCCAGACATCCTATCAGGTACACTTGACCTGAAGGCATGCGAGGTCGGCGGAGCGCTTTCAGCGCAGCTTGGCTGTCCGCAAATATGACCAGACCATTCTTTGCTTGTGCAACCCAGGGTTCCGTACTATTGATAACTGACTCCAGCGCTATCTCGATGGCGTGTAGTTCCGCGGCGTACACGGTCGTTGTGTTATCGTCGCCCATCTGACTGTGGGCGACATGGTCTTCGAGGTCGATCACCGCCGCTGCTCCCACTCTTCCTTCGATTCCACTTCCGTCGGTGTAGAGTATTAGGGGCCGCTCTCTTGGTGCCTTCACCACCATCTGTTCATGAAATGCTACTGCTGCTTCTCTGTCTTGGATGATCACCTCCGGCGGCGCTTGCCATGGTGCCAGGACGAATGCCTTTCGACTCTCCCAGTTAATCGCCAAAGTGTCCGGGAGAGCCGTGAGGCATCCGCCCATTTTCCAGGCTTGCGCCTCCATTGGTGTCCATCCAGTCCATGCTCTTTCGTGTGCCGGTCGGCGTCGCACCATAGTTGGCGGTATGCCGAGCTCAGGTCCCGTTCGCAGACGGAGGGCTATTTCTTTGACCAATCGGTTCACGTGGATCGAGATGGGTGGTAGGTGAAGCTCCGCGTTCAGTGCCTCCGCCGCTGTGGTTCTGAAAGCTCCACTAATAAGACAAGCAGCTTGTTTTTGGATGGCCGCAAAAGGCCGACAGATTGATTGGGCCTTAGATTTGCTAACGTGCATAGGCTGATACCATACGGAGACGCCAAAGAGCATCTGTGGTATGATTACCCCTTGATAAATTCTGCGCATGGCATACAGCGAGGCTCCCCACGTCGAGCCTGCCAAGCTTCGTAGTGCTCTAAGGGAGACGCTGGCTTTCGCCACGGCTTTCTCGTGGTGATGATGAAATTCCAGGTTCGGATCTAACCAGTAACCCAGATATCGTTCGGCCGTCTCTGTGGCTGGTACCGTGTGTTCTCGTAGACGCAGTGGAAGATATTGTGGGTCAACCTCTTTGGTGTTCACAAAATGTATGAGAGCGTACTTTTTGGGGTCGAAGACTGATGCATGTTTCTCAGCCCACTGGTCGGCTTTGTGACATGCGGCCTTGAGCTTCTTGAGGGTCTCGTGTTCGCTGTCCCCTTTGGCCATAAAGCAGACATCGTCGACCCAGCCACTGCTAATGACACCTGAGCCACAGTTCTCAATGAGGTCTGCATTGTAGATCCGATAGAGAATTGGTGATATCGGCGAACCCTGCGGGATCCCTGTGGGCGTTGGAATTGTATCGGACATGCCTTCAGGCATGCGGATTCTCGTGCTGCGTTTGGACAAAAAAGCCCTAACCCAGGGGACGAGGTGCCCCAGACGTCGTTTCTTGAGGTTATGGAGTAGGCGAGCATGAGAGACATTGTCGTAGGCCCCGGAGACATCTAGCATCAGCAGGGACACTATGGGTTTGCCTTTTCCCCATGCAGTTTTGATGCGGTCGATGATGATATGGATCGCATGATAGGTGGATATGCCCCTTCGACCACCTAGGTGGGTTCGAGGGAGCAGACCCTCCGTTTCGCAAACTGAGAGACATTTAATAATTTTGAAAAACGTGTTTAACTGAAGATTATTAGTATGTCAGAAGAGGAAAGTCGGACTTATTTCCCGATAATCAGCGGGTAATGTATGAAATTTCTGAGGGCGTTTATCAACTCACCAACTGAGGGAAGCCAGCAGCCATCCAAAAACGTACTGTTGCCTTTTTCTCTGTATAGTAGGAAGTGTAACGAGTATCTAGTTGTTGTCCTCTTCCCAGTTTGCCGTAAGAGCCACCTATATTATCAGGGAATCAATCGGGCACGGAATAGCGAGCCCCTCAAAATAAATATTCACAAATGCACGTTTCACCTGGTTCTGTCCACCATTTTTCTTATCCAGTCTCTCAACAACTCGGGTGGACTCGTGCTATCTCTCCCAGAATCGCGGTTCCTTGTCAGGGTATAAATGCGATTCAGCATTCCCAAATTCCAGCCGAAACAACTTGTCCACAGAAAACAAGTCGCCTACGAGATAATTGCTTTTTTCCCTCCCCCTTCTTAGTCTATTCTGCCAAGAAAATAGTCGTAAATCTGCGACATACCAAAAAAAAAAAGGTTTTGCGCGTGTTTGAAGACACCCTGGTGGTCATTTCCGTTCCCCCAATCAGTTGGTGCATTTTTCAATCTTACCTTAAAAAGAACGATCGGGCTCTTGCCCATGTTGGATATTGGGGTTGCTATCGACCCCGATGATCCTTCCCGCCATGCGATATCATTGTTGAAAAAGGACAAGTACTACCCTCCCCCAAGGAATGGTACCACCGATGTTCGCACTTCCCCTTCTTCTATATGTGTGCTTTCGAAATGCTAACCTGTGGCCATAAAAGTCGTCCAATGCAGATAACCCCCCATTCCACGTCTGGCCTAGTTGGCAATATATCCTCTCTCCTATCATCACCAAAAGCCCCGGACACACTCCAAACGAGCCTCCCTCAGTTGGACCTTCACACAGCAAAAATGGCACCCGAAGGACTAGCATCATATTTCCCCTTACGGACTAGCGATATACGAGATAGGCAGCCGGTTTCCATTCATTCAGGGGCAACATTTCAGAACTTAGAATGGATCTCATCGTCCAGTCCGCCCCCCGGAGTCATATCAAGCGAAGCAATAGTAATCAGTTGGTCGAACGGTTTGCCTACTGAGCAAAAGACTCTGGCAGATATTCCCGGAGGCCTGGAATCCTTTATTCAATCAGATAACAACAACGCTGTCTCTCAAGCATCACATCTGTCAAAATTCTCCAAACCATTCGCGAAGTTTGTCCAAAATGAAGCCACAAAACCTGGTTCAGCGCACATGGTACCAACTTCTGCGGAGATAGTACAGACAAGCAAGTATATCCCCAGCTCAGATCAACTTCACGATTTTAATTCTGAATATGGCGAATATCCTTCTCGTGTTCTCTTACCAACATCAGATTCGGTAAATACGGCTCCTTCACCTCCCAGAACGCTGCCTTCAATGGACCACACGTCTTTTGAAAACCCTCTCTCGACTGAGCTGAGTACAGAAGGTTGGGATAGAGATTCTTACCAAAGGGCAATGTCTCAGAGCGTTCCAGCAAAAATATCGCAGACGGCGTATCTTCAACATCACTTTTCAAGTATCGATTTTCCGACTGGAGTTCTGAGGCTGGCATCGGAACATGCTACTCCTACGCAAGACAGGCCCAGCACAAAACCAATAACGGAAGGATTCTCTGAACCATTGTCTTCTTACACATCTAATCTCATTACCCAAACATTCACAACAGATTCCTTGCTATCAAAGACGGAACAACTCACGAGTTCGCCAACAACCACCGAAGGTAAAACGCCGTCGACAAAGGGAGACATCACAATGGAACAGAGTAAATCATCACCAGCTCTTCCAAGACAAAGCATCGGCCTAATAGTGGGAAGCGTTTCGGGTGCAGGTGTGATTTTTGTTTGCATTCTTTATTTACATCAACCCTGCTACAGGTGGATTCGTAGTATAAGAAGAGATAGAATCCTCATCGCTCATGTACCGCAAGGAGATGATGACAGGAATAAGCCGCTTCTTTTTCAGCGCCCAGGAAATCTGGAGATCTCGCGCTTCTCGGCCGATACATGATCTGTTAATAACAATGCGCTTAAAACATACGTCGAATGGCGCCACTTCACATTGCCCACCTGAGATTAACCAAACGGCTGAAGTGAGACAAAATTGAGCAGATGTGAGCTATGCCAATTCAGCCACGCTTTTCCGAAATTCCGAAAGTAAAATTCTACACATGCGTCAGGTGTTAGGAACTCGGCAATGCAACAACTTAAGATAGATCTTAGGTTTAAAAGCGAAAATAACCACGGTCACAGCCGTGAAATTGGGTTTCAGAAAATTCGAGATGAAAAATGTGGAACGAAATTAAATTTTTGAGACCAAACGTTGTACTGCAACAAAGTAGTGCCAAATAAAAAAAGACGCTATCGATCTGTCGATCGTTTTTGACACAGACTTAAACACCTGTTTGAATTGTCCTATCATCCTATAAAAGATCTCGCTTCTTAAGCCCCGATGAAGAGATGCTAATTTTGAGAATGAACTAACACCCTTTGTTAGTAAAGTAAAGGATCAAAAATTATGAGTGGGTAATTATGGGCAATATTTTCCACTAGCAAGTAGCTGGCGATTTTGTGTTTTTTTCCACGCAACAAGGCAAAGCTCATGTCCTCAACGTTTATATGCAGTAGGCAATGGTAATTGGTTATTGTGCATGTCATAATACATGGACAGTCAAATGCAATCAACAAAGGCTCAACGAAAATCAAGTACCGGGAACATTGAATGATAATTGAGACTTCAGTGAGTACGGGTTGTTTCTTGCCCGCGTGAGGTATTATGAGCATTCCTAAATATCTATCAATGAAACTATGCACGATGTCCTTGCCCGCAGAAACAAGAAACAACCAATTCTCATGACCTTAAAATCATGAGGACCTTAAAATCATGAAGACAGTTTATGATCAGTATATCTTTTAGTCTGTCCAGAAACTTTGTTTGGATTATAGAAAATTGAGTTGTTGAAAGGACGTGATGTGGATCAATAGTCACCAACTCCATCAAAAACCGCCTGGTATCGTTCCACGCGAAAAGCAGAGTTGACCATAATATCCATCCAATTCTGAGATTGAGGATCTTGCTCATTTGTCGAAGCTACGGAGATATAGAGATATATGATACCTGGAAAAACTCCTTTCTTTAGCATGCCATTCTTTTCTACACTGTGTCTCTCCCAGTTAGTTCTGAAACTTGATGACTCTGAATGTCGTAAATGGCACCCATTTTGAGCCGAGTGAAGCAAGAGCAACTCCGAAAACGCCGCAATAATCTTCTTCGTCGCCACAATGATTTCTGGACATTATATTCAATCCGGAGCTGGCTGATTATGGAAACGCCAAATGGTCGAATATATACATACAACTCTCATCCCGATATTCCTGCACCAACAAGAGAAGAAATAGTAAGACCTGGATTTGAAAGTAGAAAGCGTCCTGGACTCTAATTCTTCCAGAAAAAACGCCCTCAGCCTGCAGTGCATAAAACCCCCGCAGACTACCTCCCCGATTCGCTAGCTGGACTGATTATTCCGAAGCCGCCCACCATCACTATTCCGGAACGCCGTAATGAACTATGGAACCCATTTTGGCGCTATTTTCGAAGAGTCGGCAATGATTCCACGAAAAAATAGGCAGCTTATATAAGTGCTTATGGATACAAAATTGTCTGAGTGTTTGGCCTTAATTGTCCACAAGATATCAAAATATATACATATCCATACAAGAATATACATAGTTGTGGTAGCCTGCATATCGCCTAGTTGGTTGGATCCCAGATTAGGTGACGTATAGATATGGTAGTGGCAGCCTATTAGGCTACCACTACCACTCCAAGCAGAAGGCAGCTGCTGTGACTACAAATAAGCTGTTTCTACCCGCATAGTTAGAGATGTATTATCACACCTGTACCTCAATCCAGGGTCTCAACTTACTTGCGAGGGATCAGGGTAAATGAATTAATCAATCTACCAATCTACCGTATGCATTGCGTATTTCCTCGATATTTGGGAAGCCATAAATATGGAGCAAATGAACAGCAAAGTTTTATTATGGGGTGAGCTAGAATTCGTCAAAGAAGGGCTCATATGGACAAGAGAAATTATAAAAGTGAACGTCCACTCCGTCCACCTTACATGCAAATACTACACGAAATTTTGTGGGCTGGTATGTATAGAACATCAGACAGTATAAATTGAGATGAGGCTGAACCTAGTCGAGAATCTTTCGCTCGTATCCCTCTGGCGAAGTTACGGTAATATCAGGGATATTAGGTCCATCGTATTCCAAACTTTGCTTGCATTGCTGGGGTCTCAGACACCTGGTTAAAGAAGTGACATGCACCATGCGCATCGCTGAAAGTAGCTGGCTTTTGACGGATCTTGGCTTTCCTGCACAGGGTTGGAGATGAGCAAGTGCTCCCGGACAGCGGCATTTTGGCAAGTGACGAATCCAGTGTTTCCGGCACCATGCAATGAACTTGTGTACTCTGAGAGGAAGCTTGCGGTTTGGGCCTTGTAGGTAGTGAGAACCTGACGCATGGTTTGGCACTGCTCCGGAACTGTTCCTTCCTGCTTCTGTATGATGCGCGCTTATAGCCATGATTGAGCTGGTTGCCATGTAAATTACCAGTTAGGAGGCCAAAAGTCTAGATTCCAGAGGATCAAATACTTAAATATAGGAAAGTAAGAGTCAATTTAAGGGTGTTTTATAATTTTGAATATTCCTCACGCGTCATTCAAAAAAAACTTGATCTCACTTCCCACTGTTTATGACTTTTCATATCCTTTTCGTCCTAATCTACATTCTCCATTCGCAGATAAATTGGAATAAATATGATGGTTGTTGACGATGTAGCATCGAGCACTAAGCCACTATCCCAATATGGTTGCGCGTTGCCCAGCGGGGATAAAATGAACCTGCAAAAATCAACGCCTCGACACGCTACAGTATTTCTATAATTGGTGGCCATGATGAAGTTCCGTCCATTGAAGACCGCGCACGATAATTGAGTCACTAATTCAACGCTTGATTTTATTGTTTTGAGGCCTGGAAAGCTTAATTCGTTTTCCCTGGAACTCTGGCAACGTTACGACTCCTAAATCCTTTACGAAGAGAATGAGAAAATCAAGACATGACTTTATTACTAATGTGACTTCACGTGTAGCAGTGGTCTAACGACATATTTTGCTGGAAAAGGAATACTGTAAGTTGCAGATCCTCGGTTTTGCCAGCAAGTATAAGGCCTTTGATCTAGTTTGAACGCTGAACATGGATATGGGCCTTAGTTAAATTACTGGTTTGGTTCGCGACTTGTGAATCGTTCGATGTTTACCCCGGAATCGAGTATGGGCTTGAGGTCGGGTCGCGCGGGCTGATTATGTGGTGAGCTGTGTATCACACTCTCAGTTGACCACTCGTTTATGGAACATACCGGGAATTGCAGGAATGGTGGACTTTTTAAAGAAGCTATGAGAGGGATTGGGTTGAGATTCCTGCAAATTCATTAGGTTACACAGCAGCACTTTTGCCATGGTCCAACATACTATGTCTTCGCCCCGGAAGTCTGAAGCCCCTGGGCGAATTACAAGGGCCGATACCTAGATTAATTAGGACCACAACCTCACAAGTAGAGATCAGTTACCTACCAAGTTGACGGCCAGCGCCCAAAGTATCCAAATTATTGTCTTGGAGATCATGCTTTGCTTCGCTAGCGGGTTTTCTTGTGACTAACGACGGTAATTACCAGGATGCCCGTGGAGACAAGGTTAATATTCGACTGGCAAGATAAGGATTGTCACTTCTTATGGCAAGAGGCCTTGCTAAAATATATAATATGCTCTAGGGTGGTTTTGTGATGGTTCCCTGAATGAAGATTCTCTACCAAATGATCATGCAAATCTTGGAACTGGCAAAGCCCAGGGGTTATTTTTGGAGGATTGCGAGGAGCACAATTGAGCTCAAAATACTGAGGGCGAGTTCGTTGACCGTTGCGGTGCCCCACCCAAAATAGTTTGCTTGGAGTTACAGCAACTTCGTAGTGAAGTATAAATGCGCGCATTCATCTGTAGACATTTTATCAACTTCGTTGCCTTTGGACCATTTTTCGCTAAAGCCCCCGAAATGACAAGAGTTCAAGCTAACAGGTCCAAGGAGGAAGATTCTCACAGTGACTTTATTGAAAACGTAAATGAATCCGATACACAAAGTATCATCCAATCCACCATATCAGAAACAACGTCTGAATACATTCCGTCAGAGACAAGTGAAGACCGGGACTTTGTTGTTTCCGACACAGACCCACTGTCACAAAGGTCCAGTAGCTTCTCCGAAACCGATGATTCATGTTCCTGTGCATTCAGCAGTGGCACAAGTAACGGGAAATGTCAAGAGGTAAATGTCTCGCTCTTTTTGTATGGAATTTTGGCTTTGACGCAAAGTTAGGGTCAACGAGTCGGAAGGATGATACCAGTGAAAACCATCGCGCAGCGATCTATGTATTGCGATGGGCATGAGGTGGTACAATATCTGGTCCTGTGGTATTCGTGGGAATCAACCGATATGGGGCCCAGCTCACGCTCTATTGAGAATATCTGATTTCAGTTTACTGCACATACTTGGTTATATTTCTTGTTTTGATGGATATACAGTACAGTATGCCGTGAGCATACTTCGTTCTTCAGGCTTATTATTTTCTTTCCATGGAGTGACCAATTGTTGTATACAGGCATTATGTTAAGTCAGAAGCGCCTTGTAGAAGTATCGGGAATACCTTAGACGGTGTGTTCATGGGAGTATACGGCGGTCCGCCACATACTCTGAGCATAACTTACTTTTAAAGAAGTGGCTGTTGATCCCCTTAAACGCTGAGCCCAGTTATACTTATCATTGTCCATGGCCATGAGAATGTTGATGTCGGACATGCAGAATTCTGCCGGGCGGACAGAATATTCTGCGTACGCATACAAAGCGAAGGTGATTGGATGCAGGAATAATAGGGGTTTGCGTGCTACTTTAGCTTAGTCATTTAGAAGACCCCTTAAATTGTCGAATTGGGGCATGTTTTTTAAATCAGATTGCTGCATTTTTACTGATATTTAAACTAGCTTCTCATTGGCTGGATCAGATTACAAATCCCTCGTCCGATAACGTAATCCACAAGCGAGCGGCGCACACAAGCGAGCGGCGCACCACACGAAAATCGCGCCATCTTCGCGAACCTATCGATTTCAACCACCTACTATGCCACTAATTCGCTCTCAAAATGCCAGAAAATCTATCGAGCAAGCGGGTAGGGTCTTGCTAGCTATCGAGGCTATTCAGAAGCAAGAAATTCCTTCGACTCGCGAAGCAGCACGTCGATTTAATGTGCCTGAGACTACCTTACGTCGCCGCCTCGCAGGTCAACTAAATCGATGCGATACGCGCGTTAACTGCCAGAAATTGACCCAAATTAAAGAAAAATCGATTCTTCAATGGATTCTCTCTATGGATCGACGTGGAGCAGCTCTTCGACCAGCAGCTGTACGAGAAATGGCTAATATTCTATTGGCTATACGTGGATCTACCCCTATTCAATCTATCGGCCAAAATTGGGTCTATAATTTTATCAAACGTCACGATGAAATAAAGACTCGCTTCTCTCGTCGATACGATTATCAGCGCGCCAAAAATGAAGACCCAAAAGTCATATATAAATGGTTTGACTGCGTCCAAAAAACAATTGAAGGGAACGGCATTCTATACGATGATATCTACAACTTCGATGAGACTGGTTTTGCGATAGGCCTTACCTCGATTGCTAAAGTGATTACTCGATCTGAATACTACGGTCGGCGATCGCTATTACAACCTAGGAATCGCGAATGGGTTACAGCTATCGAGTCAATTAATGTATCTAGGTAGGCGCTGCCACTATATATTATCTTTAAAGGCAAGGTCTATATCGAGGGCTGGTTTGATAATCTACTACCCGATTAGCACTTCGAAGTTAGCCAAAATGGCTAGACTACAGACGAAATTAGCCTTCGCTGGCTAAAAAATAGCTTTATCCCAGCTACAACTAGTTGAACGAAAGGCAAATATCGGCTTCTTATTCTTCACGGCCATAGCAGCCATTTAACTCCTCAATTCGACCAAATATACAGCGATACCAATATTATTCCAATTTATATGCCTACGCATTTATCGCATATTTTACAGCCTCTTGATATTGGCTGTTTTACGCCTTTAAAAAAGGCATACGGTAGCTTAGTTAAGAAGCAAATGCGGTATAGCATCAACCATATCGATAAATTCGATTTTCTCGTAGTATACCCTTACGCTCGCTCGCAAGCTTTCGATAAAGCTGAAACTATTCAAAATAGCTTCGCAGCTGCTGGATTAGTCCCTTATAATCCAAATCGGGTTATCGAAAAGCTTGATATTTAGCTTTATACGCCAACACCCCCGGAAGCAGCCAGGGCAGCCAAAACAGTCAATTCACACCAAAAACGCCCCAAAATCCAAAACAGCTATATCGATAGGCTTTATCAATCAAAGCTCTATTAAAACATCGCTCCTATAGCCCACCAAGTCCAACTAACGCGGCGCTAGATCAGCTTATCAAAGGCTGCCAACTAGCGATGTATAGCGCTACAATCCTCGCGTATAAAAATAAGGATTTATACGTAGCTAATGAGAAGCAGAAGCAAAAACGGGCTAGATCTAATAGGCAAATACCTCGAGAGCAAGGCCTATCGGTTCAAGAAGCTCGTGAGCTAATATCGACGTCAAACCAAGCCTCTAAAGCTCAATCGACTACCCCAGCAGACCTTGGTCAACAAGCTTCGCAGCTATCTACACGGGCGCCACCTCGCTGTAGCGACTGCCGCGAATTAGGGCATCGAAGATTGCAGTGCCCAAAACGATATAATTAGTGTTTTTTTTGTATTAAGGCGTTGTGGCGAAAATATATCGATTTAAATTCTATATACTTAATATGGTGCGGCACTCGCTTACGTGCGGCACTCGCTTACGTGCGGCACTCGCTTACGTGCGGCACTCGCTTACCGATTACGTTAGTTAACGTAATCCACAAGCGAGCGGCGCACACAAGCGAGTGGCGCACCATACAGGAAAGATAAAATTTAAATTAATTTATTTTCACCACAACGCCTTAATATACAAAAAAAACCTAATTATATCGTTTTGGGCACTGTAATCTTCGATGCCCTAATTCGCGGCAGTCGCTACAGCGAGGTGGCGCCCGTGTAGATAGCTGCGAAGCTTGTTGACCAAGGTCTGCCGGGGTAGTCGATTGAGCTTTAGAGGCTTGGTTTGACGTCGATATTAGCTCACGAGCTTCTTGAACCAATAGGCCTTGCTCTCGAGGTATTTGCCTATTAGATCTAGCCCGTTTTTGCTTCTGTTTCTTATTGGCTGCGCGTAAATCCTTGTTTTCTTGCGCGAGGATCGTAGCGCTATGCATCGAAAGCTGGCAGCCTTTGATAAGCTGGTTTAGTGCTGCGTCAGTTGGGCTTGGTGGGCTGCGAGAGCGTTGCTTTAATAAAGCTTTAATCGACGAAGCCTGGCGTTGTAGCTGTTTTGGATTTTGAGGCGTTTTTGGTGTGAATTGGCTGCTTTGGCTACCTTGGCTGCTCCCCGGGGGTATTGGCGTACGAAGATGAATATCTAGCTTCTCAAGGACCCGATCTGGATTATATGGGACTAATCCAGCAGCTACGAAGCTATTTTGAATAGTTTCAGCTTTATCGAAAGCTTACGAGCGAGCGTATGGGTATACTGCGAGAAAATCGAATTTATCGATATGGTTGATACCACACCGCATTTACTTCTTAACTAAGCCACCGTACGCCTTTTTTAGAGGCGCAAAACAGCCAATATCAAGAGGCTACAGAATATACGATAAATACGCCGGTATATAAATTAGTATAATATTCGTATCGCTGCATGCTTCGTCGAATTGAGGCGTCAAATAGCTACTATAGCCATCGAGGATAAGAAGTCGATATTTACCCTTCGTACGACTGGCAGTAGCTGGGATAAAGACCTTTTTTAGCCAGCGAAGGCTAATTTCATCTGTGGTCCAGCCATTTTGGCTAACTTCGAAGTGCTAATCGGGTAGTAGATTATCAAACCAGCCCTCGATATAGACCTTGCCTTTAAAGATAATATATAACGGCAGCGCCTATCCAGAGGTATTAATCGATTCAATAGCTATCACCCATTCGCGATTCCCAGATTGTAATAGCGATCGCCGACCGTAGTATTCAGACCGAGTAATCACTTTAGCTATTGAGGTAAGGCCTATTGTGAAACCAGTCTCATCGAAGTTATATATATCGTCGCATAGAATCCCGTTCTCATTAATTGTCTTTCGGACGCAATTAAACCACTCGTGTATAACTTTCGGGTCTTCATTTTTGGCGCGTTGATAATCGTATCGACGAGAGAAGCGAGTCTTAATTTTATTATGTCGATTGATAAAATTATAGACCCAATTTTGGCCGATAGATTGAATAGGGGTAGATCCACGTATAGCCAATAGAATATTAGCCATTTCTCGTACAGCTGTTGGCCGAAGAGCTGCTCCACGTGAATCCATCGAAAGAATCCATCGAAGAATCGATTCTTCTTCAAATTGTGTCAATTTATGGTAGTTAGCGCGCGTTTCAGACCGAAAGGCTTTGCTATGTAGTCGATCGCGTAGTGTAGTTTCTAGTACACTAAATCGGCGTGCTGCTTCACGAATCGAAGGAATTTCTTGCTTCTGAATAGCCTCGATAGCTAGCAAGATCCTACCCTCTTGCTCGATAGATTTTCTGGTATTTTGAGAGCGAATTGGTGGCATAGTGGGTAGTTGAATTGGGTAGGTTCGCGAAGATGGCGCGATTTTCGTGAGGTGCGCGACTCGCTTGTGGATTACGTTATCAAGAGGCTGTAAAATATGCGAGGAGTGGGAAAAAGGTGGAACTCTTTCTTGGCAAAAACGTTTTCTTGGAATATCTAGCCAACCAGAGGTCGTGAGGCCTCAAGAATTAGTTCACCGTAGTCGTAACTTCAAGCGCTACCATTTGATACCCTTGTTGTAGGGGCAATGGCAGCGACGATGGCGACTGGTGCGAACGCACAGAATTTGCCCCCTATCAGACGAGGAACATCAAAAAACACGGCCCTCGCGGACCCGCCCCGATCCATGGATGACATCGCGGAAGGGGCCCGCAAGGTACTAAACCACATCGAAAACAACGGCGCGGAGGACCGATATGTCACGGGATACATTCGAGCTGTCCGCCAGTACGCACTCAACGCCCAGCGGGGCGACGGCCAGGGGATGGCCAAGGTGCTCGAGGCGCTGACCAAGATCAACCTCGACACCGATCGTCTGAACCAGCGAATCGACACCATTGAAAAGACAACGACCGCCTTATCGACGACTCTATCCAACCCCGCGGCGAACTCCGCAGCAGCGTGGCGTAACTTCAGGGCCAAAGAATGGCAGCGCGACTTGGCTACGGCTGCGGCTCCCATCACCCGGAGCGGCGGCACATCGTCTCCAGGAGTGCCGGAAATTGAACTACGCGAGGATCGGGAGATCATCATCAAGGTCGGAACGAACCGTGAGAGTATCCGAGGATTGACGCCAAAGGATCTGGTAGAAAGGACCGAACGGCAGAAAGTTTACAATGCCCGCCAGAAAAATTCCACAATCCTGGCCGAACAGGCCTCATTCGTCGCTGCTCGGAAGTTGCCATCGGGCGACGTAGCAATGATTGCGAACAGTGCTGCAGGAGCAGAGATCCTCCGCAAGCATCCCGCATGGCTGAGGGCTTTTGGGCCCGGGTCAGTGATCCAAGAACCCTCATGGGGCGTGGTGACATATCACATCCCTGTGAAATCGATGAGGCTCACCCTGGAGACGATGGCCGACGTTGCAACGGAACTACTCCGGCAGAATAACTGGGGCGAAGGCTCCAAGATTCAATATGTCGGATGGCTAACGCGTCCGGGTGAAAGGGCGGAGGGCTCGATTTTGATCGAATTCACCAGCCCAGTCGCTGCCAATCGTGCTATCAGCATGGGAGTAGTATGGGGAAAGCAGATTCACAATGCATCTCGGTTTTGCCGCGAGGGACGGATGAAACTATGCAGGAAATGCCAAAAGCCGGGGCATATCCAGTCACACTGTTCCAACGCCTTCAAATGCGGCCGCTGTGCTGGCGGGCACCCGACCTGGGAGTGCCCGTCAACTAAAGGGCAAGCGATACAAATCAAGTGCGCCAACTGTGGCGAGGGGCATCGTCCGACGAGCCGTGAATGTCCGGTGAAGATCACAGCCATGAACGAAGCCAAACAGGCATTGGCCACCTGTCCGACCTACCACCGTGTTCCGCTACACTTCCGAGTTAGGGAAGCTGTGAAAATAGTGACAGCTACGGTCAGATCCGACGATACTGCCGGGAGAGGAATAGAGGCATCGATCCATGCCCCAGAGACTCATACGGAGGATGAGGAGCCCCACAGGATAGCCAGCAGGCGGTGGTTGACCTAGACCCAACGCCAGTAGAAGCGGGGACATCCTTCGAGATGCCTACAGATCGGACACAAACTAGAAGAGGTCCTGGTCGCCCAAAAGGTTCAAGGACCAAAGCAAAGGCTCCAAAGCCAACCATCATACCACTGGCGTGCCGAGGATCAACGAGGTCTCAAGCAGCCTCTCAAAAAGCGACGCAGGCGGGGAGCAGCTCCAAAAGATGCCGCACTGGTGAGCCGGGGGACGAGATGGATGAACAACCCGACGATGACGGTTGGTTCAACATCCAGCTCAATCCCGCCGACATTTCCCAACCCAACAGTGAACAAGACAGCCTCGAAAACCAACTCAGTCAATTCATCAACGACGTCACGACAATGAATGATGTGGGAAACACATCAGAACCAGAAAGCGAGAAAGGAGAATCAGAAAGTCCCGACCGCCGAGGAGTTGTGGTTCTGAAATACAAATCACAACGAGCGGTACGGATCCGATCATCACCGCCAACGCTAACCACCGACGCACCAACGGTCGAGGATCCAAACGATGAAATATGGCACGAGACCAGTGAGCGAAGCGATGATGATTAGAACGAACAATGAAAGAGTTCCAAATTCTGCAATACAACGTACACAAATCGTGGCAAGTGATGGCTTCGTTTCTCCGGGACCGCAAGGTTCTGGAGGCGAGTGTTATCGCAATACAAGAGCCATGGAAGAACGAGCTACAGCACACAACCCACCAACCGGCGACGGCTGCTTTCCAACTTTTATACCCACCAAAAGAACCAGTTAATACATTCAACCCAGACCAGAGGGATCAAGACAATGACCCCGGCCCCCGCCAGCCAGGCGTATGCCTATTCGTGTCTAGAAACCTTGACCCGGCCACCTGGTCATGTCGACTAATATCGCAGGACTATCAGCTACTGAAGCTACGGATGGCCGGTAGAGACAGAGACTGGAGAGACCTATTCATACACAACATATACAATAGACCCGGTAGCAACACACTGGAGCAACTGAGACAAGAACTGTCAAGGCATCCGCACGGGGAGCACGTGGTCCTGGGTGACATGAACGCACATCACCCACGATGGGGAGGAGCAGGAACCAACGCAGATCCGGAAGCCATCCAACTAATAGATATCATCAACAAGTGGGGTCTTGACCTCCTGACTGAAGAGGGCCGGCCTACCTGGACCCGGAACGAACAGTCATCGGTGATCGACCTCACCTTGGCCACGCCAAGGCTTGCGAACAGGCTTATACAATGTCAGAGAGCGGATGACATCGAACACGCATCGGACCATTTCCCGATCAGGACCGTGCTCGATCTTGAAACCTCAACTGTGACTCAACAGAAACGAAGGAATTGGAAGGCAACCGATGACGCCAAGCTCTTCCAAAGAATCGAGAGAAGCCTACAGGCAGAAGACCTGTCCCAGGCTGGCCCGCAGCAAATAGAAGAGAAATGTCAAGAATTGATGCAAAACATCCAATTGGCTGTTGAAGATTCCACTCCATGGGCAAGACCATCAGAGTGGTCGAATCCCGACTTCGACGAGGAGTGTAAAGCTGCGGTGAAGGAGGTCCGTCGCCTTCGTCGCAGACACACGAGCACGCAGGATCCCTACGACTGGATGTGTTACTCCGAGGCACGTAACAAGAAAACACGTCTGATCAAAAAGACCCTGTCACGAGCACATCGACGTCGAGTTCAGCAGGTCATTGAGGACGGACCGCAAGGCATGTGGCGGCTGGCGAAGTGGGCAAGAAACCGAGATGGAGCCTATGGAAAGGGGATTACACCTTCTCTCAAAATCCAACAACCTCAAGCAATTGATGCCCTTGCGGAGACAATTGACCAGAAAGCAGAAGCCTTCCGAGCTGCTTTCTTCCCGCAACCGCCTACGGCCAATCTGTCCGACACAACTTCCTTTACATACCCGGAGCCTATCGGTTTCCCACCGTTGACGGCACACGAGGTTCAAGACGCAGTGAGAGGGGCGAAGGCAGGCAAAGCACCAGGGGAGGACGGTTTGCCGAACTCCCTATGGCACAAGCTGATTGAGGCTCCGGTGATTCTGGAAACGATGGTTCAGCTTTTCGATGCTTGTATACGCACCGGCTACAACCCAACACACTTTCAACGATCGATCACGGTTGTCCTCCGAAAGCAGGGCAAAACTGACTACCAACTAGCAAAATCCTACCGGCCAGTTGCCTTGTTAAACTGTAGGGAAATTCCTGGAAGCCATCGTCGCCCGAAGAATCAGCTACGCCGTTGAGACCGAAAACCTTCTCCCGCGAACCCATCTGGGCGGCCGGAAGGGGATATCGACGGATCATGCGATACACATGATCCTCGATCGGACCAAAACCGCTTGGGGGAAAGGCAAACCGGTGGTATCTCTGTTGATGCTAGATGTCTCCGGAGCATACAACGTATCCCACGAACGTCTACTCCATAACCTCAAGAAACGACGCCTGGGACACTTCGTCCCTTGGGTGAAATCATTCCTCATGAATCGAAGCACGAGAATCCGCATGCCTGAGGGCATATCAGATCGTATCCCAACACCCACTGGCATCCCACAGGGGTCGCCAATCTCACCGATACTGTACCTAATCTACAACGCGGACCTCATTGAGAACTGCGGGACAGGTATTACCAGTAACGGCTGGGTGGACGACATCTGCTCCATGTCCAAGGGAGACAGCGAACGGGAGACTACTAGAAAGCTAAAAGAAGCATGCCGCAAAGCAGATCAGTGGGCAGAGAAACATGCATCAGTATTCGACCCGAAGAAATACGCTCTTATCCATTTTGTGAACGCCAAAGAGGTCGACCAACAACACACACCACTACGCCTACGAGAACACACAGTGCCCGCGACAAAAACGGCCGAGCGGTATCTGGGCTACTGGCTGGACCCTGGACTGGATTTTGGCATTCACCGGGAGAAGGCAGTCACAAAAGCAGGTATCTCTCTCCGAGCTCTACGGAGTTTGGCAGGCTCGACTTGGGGAGCGTCACTACACGCCATGCGCAAGATCTACCAGGCAGTGATCATTCCACAAATGCTGTTTGGGGTCTCCGCATGGTACCAACCTATGCTCGTTAGCAAGTCCAAAGCTCAGGCAATCTGTCGGCCCTTCGTCGCGGTCCAAAAACAAGCGGCATGCCTCATCAGCGGAGCCTTTCGAACCACCGCAGCAGAAGCACTGAACGCAGAGCCCCACTTATCTCCTATCTCAATTCATATGAATCGACTGGTGAAAGAAACGGCGCTGCGATTGCGCACCGGTCCCCTCTTCGCAGTCCCACCAACGATGCTCCGACGCAGACCTGCAGATGAAAGAAGCTGGGCTGGATGGTCACCAATGGAGGCGCAGGCCTGGAAAACGGGCGGATGCTTGACCGCTCTCCCGGGAAATTTGGCTAGCGTCTGGGAGAGTCGAAAGGCATTCGTTCTGGCACCATGGCAAACGCCACCAGAGGTGATCATCGAGGACAGGGAGAAAGCGATAGAATCTCATGAGCAAATCATGTTGAAGGTATCAAAGGAACGACCCTTGATGATATACACCGACGGAAGTGGAATCGAGGGGAGAATGGGAGCAGCAGTAGTAGTTGACCTCGAGGACCATGTCGCCCACAGTCAAATGGGCGACGATAACACAACGACCGTGTACGCTGCAGAGCTCCGCGCTATCGAAATGGCGCTGGAGTCAGTCATCGACAGTACCGAACCCTGGGCTGCACAGGCAAAGAATGGCCTAGCTATCTTTGCAGACAGCCAAGCGGCGCTGAAAGCGCTCCGCCGACCCCGCATGCCATCAGGTCAGATATACCTGATCGGATGTCTAGACTTGATCCGCCAACTGGTGGAACGGGGAATTCAAACAGAACTGCGATGGATCCCGGCTCACCAAGAAGTGCTGGGTAACGAGACAGTGGACCAGCACGCAAAAGATGCGGCCCAGAAACCCGACAATCCACAGAATCCTCCCAATCGATATATTCGCCTCGCAGCCGCGACCAAGCGTCGATTCCGCCAAGAGGCAAAATTCGAGTGGGAAAGAGCATGGGCATCAGAGAAGACCAGTCGGCCGACAAGGCGGCTGATCGAGACACCAAGCAAGAAAACACTGGAATACTGGTCGGGATTACGCAAAGCAACTGCATCCATCCTGATGCAGCTGCGCACTGGGCGCATCGGCCTGGGTGCCTATCTGGCTCGCATCAACCGACGAGACTCGGCACGATGCGACTGTGATCTGGGTAACCAGACGGTGGCCCACGTCTTGCTCGAATGTCCTCTGCACATCGAGGAACGCGTTCGGATGCGGAACGCTCTGTCCGGGCAAGGGATCAGCTTTCGTCGGGACGACCTCCTGACGCGCCCCGAGGCGCGCGAGATTGTTGCCGACTTCATGGTCGAAACAGGAATTTTGACCCAATTCCTAGGGACAGATACTGCTGCGTTGGGGATGGAAGCAGTAGAAGAGAAATCATGACCCAAAAGGACAGTGTGACGGAAGAAGACAAGTGATGCCCGCGAGGAGACTGGTGCCAGGTCCACCTTTCCTTGACCAGAACGGACACGAGAGCGGCAGCCAACGGCAGAAAAAGGTGCGCGGGGTGACGGAGCGAGAATGGGAAAGGGACACGAGATGGCGACGGGGGAAAAAGCAGGCCACGCTCATTCAATATTTTTTCTTATGTTTTGGTTCACTTCTACGTGGTCAAGTCAAGTCCTGCTGGCGGGAATCTTGCCCATCGCGTGGATAATTACCACCTCTTTTAGCTGTCGGCTTCATTCTCTCCTGCCTCTTGTGCAAACCATGATCTCTATCGATCTAGACAATATCATCCATTACCACCCTCCTCCCATTCCAAGACCCCCTTGCAAACCACCACACCTACCTACTTCCTCTCGTGGTTCTTCCCACCCTCCTTCAAATCCACCCATCCTAATCCATCCTCTACCCCCGCGTCCCCCGCGTCATTCTCATGAGTCGCCGCAAACACCTCATCCTCGTCGACAGACCACTTCTTCTGTTGTGTCATGTTTGCCTAGCGATCACGATGCCCACGCGCGGACTAAATTGGCGCATCTAAACGATTTTGATAAAGAATTAGCCGACTTCGATTTGGCCGGGATTGAGAGCCAAGAGACTTCGGAATTGCGCATTGGAGGCGGCGAAGAGAGTCAAGTAGAGGCCATGAACAGCGTCCAAAGAACGGAGCTGGATGATCCATACGATGGTAAGTGATATCCTCATCTGCTGGTTCCTCCTCTGTTCTCTTGGGTTCTCATTGTGTGACATCCATTTTCGAAGTTGAAGCAAAGAGATATACGCTGACTTCTTATTTTGGAAGTAGACTCCCACTCCAACGAACGCCACAGGGACGATTTACGGCTCCTGTCTCAGGACCTTACTGCGCCACAAGATACCGCCACCTCCCTAGGTGCTGCCGAGACGGACCTCTCGTCAACATCTATTTCACCGAACGAGCAGTCTCCCATTCAAAGTTAGTGCATCTAGTGACTCAAGCTTTTCCTGGGTTGCTTCTTACCTTGCGAATATAGATCCTTCATCCGTTGAGCATAGAGAAAACCAGCTTTCCCTTGTGGACTGTGAAACAGTAGCGAACAGCGTGGCGGCCGATGAACCGTGTCATACATTTACTAGCCAACGCGACTGTGACATTCCAAGAGATCAGTCTCCATATCACAACCCCAGCACACCTGTTCCAGCTAGAGACGAAACGGAGCCTGCAAATCAGCGACTCTTTGGGTACAGCTCTGAGGCAGGTACAGAGCCTGGAAAATCTAGACCTACACCCGTTACGGAAGCACACTCCATTCAGTCACAAGCCACGGACCCTACAGCGAGTCACAACGGCTATTTGGAAGCGCCGAGCGACGGCAACGAGGTCGGTTCGACAGTTTGTCAGCTTGACGAAGCATTATCTCGTCCTATCTCGCCTGTCCTGCAACAACAAAAGCGGGCGGGTTTAAGACCAGGCGGAGAGGATTCACCTAGAGATCTACCTAGGTCGTGCTCCGTATCAGTTGTTATCCCTGAACCCCAGTTCAATGGGCTGGGAATAAAAAGATCTACTAGGGCCGGCCGCGCACGCTGCACAGGGAAAAGGAGAATTCGAGACAAGTCCCCTTGTGATATTGATAGCGATGACCCTGATGATATTGACTATACGAATGGGAACGATTCTGGTGTTGGTGACATCGCTGCGTTGCCACGCCCAGCGAAGAGCCAGAGACGAGCTGCTGCAATAAAGATCCAACCTCGGTTTCGACATCAAAGCCCGCATCCTGAGTTCTCCTCACTAGCTCGGCCACAGGAGCTATTCGCAAATCCATGTCCCGTCACAAGTTTGCAGGATATAGAAACCATTCCTGTCCGAGTCTTCCTCACACGGCAAACTTTTCTATCAAAAGTTGTCTACTCGTGCACCTTCGAAGAAGATAGACAGCCTTGTTCGCATGGAACTTCAAAAGCTCCCTCGTACAGCGAAAATATGGGTCAGAATGGACACACCGAGCAACTCAGCAACAGAAGGTCATCTGCCCGTACAACGCGTTTCCTGCCTGTTGAGGACGAACTCTTGGTTGAATTAAAGGAAAGGCGCTGTCTTCCATGGAATCGGATTGTGAAGCATTTTCCAGAGAGGACGAAGAATTCTCTACAGGTCCGTTATAGCACGAGGCTTAAGGACCGAGGCACCGAAAGTCTCAAGCGAGATCGGAGTGGAAGGATTAAACCTGCAGCTACCGCAGCGGCTGCTCACCAAGAGGCATGTGGCCAACATTCTATATCGCGAACGGCAAGTAGCAGGAGTGTTGATGCGGACTTACCGACCAGGCAACGATACGGTCCATCTCGAGCGAGGCGCGCAGTCGACCGCTTTTCACCGGCCTAATCTCTCAGCTTAAGGGTTTTTGTCGCTACTACCAAGAAAACAAGATTACCTTTATGCAATGCCCTGTAGGACTGTAGGATTAGGCTTTCTCGGTGCAACAAGCTGGTAGGAATACCGTTAGCTCAAGGCCAGGCTTCTGGCGTTAGACTGTCAGCCACTGCAAAGGACGTAAAGGACCTAGAAAGTGCTTTGATCACAAGAGTCGAAGATGGAAGAACCAGATAGAGAGAGATTTAGTGGATTCCAAAATTCGACTGTTGAGAACCGCCCATCGGCCGAACTAGGCTTGTTTGCAGGGAATCTTCCCGATATGCGTGCTCCACACAATCGCACAATTGAAGCTATTCAACCTAATGTTTACAACTGGTGGCTGGGGTCTAATGGTCATGTATTTCCTCACATAGCATAGCATCCCGCGTCTGTAGAGGAAATAGTTAGATCGACGTTACAATACGGAGAGAGTATAACATCAAGGGGACAAAGAAAGCCAGCTTGGACCAAGTTATCTTGATAGCTACCATTAACCTGCTGACGTGGCTTACCAAGACCACCTGCTACACAGGTCATACATTAGGTTGTGCATTAGTTTCGCTCACATATTGCCACCTCATTAGCGAAGTCGCCCAAGATCGAGGAAGGAGGATGGCTTGCGGGAATAAACTGCCAAAATCGGTTGCGATCGATGAAATTCGTGATCATCATCACGTGATCCAATATTCCGTTCAACTCATGTGACTCAGTCCAGAGAGTAAAAGCCGCCCCCTAAGGAATGGAATAAACATCCAATTCAACGCTTCAGCCAACATGCCCAAAAAAAAAGCCTCCTTCGAAAGGAGGTCACATACTCCGATGTCAAGGATGAGGAGTTCAATATTCTCCATCAGCTTGGGTATCATGCTGAACAAAGCCGTTTCTTTGCTCACCTCCTTGACAAACGTGGCTGGATGGAGAGGGCTGTTGCTCACCACCTCAACCTATCCGCCACCGTATGTCATGTTGCGGGCATTGAAGATTGGCTTCACGGTAGCTTCAATGTCTGTGTTCCAATAGTCATCGACACCTGGAATAGAAAGCGAGTGCTTCTCCGATTTCCATTGCCATACCGTGTCGGTGAGGCCTACAGGCCTGGAAATGGTGATGAGAAGATTCGATGTGAGGCAGGAACCTACGCATGGCTCCAAGAGAATTGTGCAGGAGTGCCAATCCCACGATTGTATGGCTTTGCTTTGTCCTCTGGTGAAAGTGTAAGAGACCATGTATACTCGGCGTCTGTGGCATCCTACTAACTAACTCTAGTACACTCGAATAGAATATTTGCCCTTCTTCCCTCGCTTCTTCCAGCTTATGCGCCGTCAAATCTTATCGTGGCTGGGGAAACCAGTTCCTTCAAATTATTGCCCCCATCAGAATACAAGTCAGGTTTCCGACGATGGAGTGGTGGGTGCCGGCTACATTTTGGTGGAGTTCATTGAGAGCACACGAGGAGCAATGCTTTCCAACACATGGAAAGAAGGTCAGCATGATCTCAAGCTGCGGACGAACCTTTTGCGTGATCTATCCCGAATCTTTTTGGGTCTTTGTCGAATTCCCTTACCGAGGATTGGGTCGTTTATCATCAATAATGACGGGTTTTTGCATCTGACGAACCGGCCACTTTCGGTTGAGATGCAACAGTTAGAGAATGAGGAAATCTCAACTGAAATTCCTCGCAACTATACCTATTCGACTGTTGACTCCTACGTGATCGATATACTGGGCATGCATGACAACCGTTTTCGGTATCAACCTAATGCTGTGAATAACCTTGGAGACTGTGCTTATCAACTGTCTGTGTTGACTGTGATGCGAGCAATTTTTCAGTCGATTTTTACTCGGAGTTTCCGCAGAGGCCCGTTTGTATTTGTATTCACAGATCTCCACCAGAGCAACATTTTTGTTGACTCAGAATGGCATATAGCATGCCTCGTGGATCTGGAATGGGCCTGCACTCGACCAATTGAGATGGTAAGGCCTCCATCTTGGCTAACAGACAAGGGTGTGGATGAGTTGGTTCCAGCAGAATACGATGCTATTCGCCGGCAATTTGTGGAACTCCTAGCCGCTGAGGAGAAAGAGGTTGACTGCAGTACATTGAACAAGAGTCATGATGAATCCGCGCTGTTGTGTCTCTCAGACGTGATGGACCGAACATGGGAAACAGGAGCATTTTGGTATGCAATGGCTCTTTCAAGTCCTTCCGGTTTGTTCACTATTTTCAGCAATCACATCAGGCCCTTGTTTTGCAGGGACTACGAGGAGGAGTTTGGTGTGGTCATGCCATTTTTCTTTGAAAAGAACGTGGGGAAAATTGCAGGTCGCAAGTTGACGGATAAAGAGGAGTACGATCGGCAACTTCGACAGGCCTTCGAAGACTGTTCAGACCAAGCCCACTATGTTCAATGAAAGCTATTTTTTCCCAGAATCCTCCTGCTTCGTCCCTTCATTTGAAAATTGAGTCTGGACTGCCTCACCTAAGGCCCCCATTATTCTCTCTTTGTGATTTTCTTGTCTCTTCTTTCGGGCAGCTTCTCCCGACGAGCTGAGTTGTTGAAGAGTTTTGACATCCCCTTTGATTCCATACACCGCCTCCTTTAATGTGGTCTTGTTGGATGAGGACCGGTCACCCATCTCGGATAACGCAAGCGACCCGTCGATCGTTATAGTTCTATAGATACTTTCAGTGAGTAAAGCTAGCAAATACAAGTTCCTGTGTTTGCACTTACCTGATATGTGAGACGAAGAACCCTGAACAAGGATTGGGATTTATGACGCTGTCGATCAACCTGCACAGAAGGCGGGAGCCTCGAGAAGATATGGCCTGCTATAAACTCGACTATGCAGTGGAACCCTGACTCCGGAGGGTCACGTCAATAAAAGAGGTTGGATCACATAGATGGCCCTCTTACTTCAAATATACCTTTGGCCGATGGAGTCATGCAATTACCCCGCTTTATCAAGGCGAGTCTGACACGTCACTCCAACTCAACTGTCGGTGGCTTACAACTTGAGTGGCCCAGCTGGGATACCATCCTTGCCAGGGAGGACAGTAAGGTATATTTCATAGTTTTCAAGGTTCACCCATCCTGTAATGGATTTTGGACAAAACCCTTGTTTTTTGGCCTCCCCTGAAGCAAAGCTCGAGAAGTCATTCAGCTAAAGTAGAGACTGCTCGCTGGTATGCAACATTTGGAAAAGATTTCGGGCTAAAACGGAGGTGAATTGGCCGAAATTATCGTGATTCTGCATTAATCGGTGAAAGTCGTCACAAATCGACCGTTGTCGATCAAGATCAACAAACCCCGCACGTGATTAACACGTGGATCCATGGGCACCAGTCCTTAGTCCTTGGAAGAGAACTGGTTTAATTCTGCGAATTCGCTATCACACCTCGGGCGCAATTTCGTGAAGATTGATGCGCGATAATGGGAATACGATCTGCATATAGATAGGCCTGGCCGTTATTGGCTCTAGCCAACGACACCACAATGTTGCTTCAAGTGATGGTGCTAAGCTGTCCTCAAGTCACGTCCGAATGGCACTCACCGCAAACCAATATACTCTTCCCTCTCAGGAATCTTTGGGATTCGACGTCGAGTTGTACGAAGCCTAATAGTATCGCATGAACAGGCTAACCTTGCAAGGACACGAGTCCTTCCGTCTGAATCTTGTCCGGCCGCCTCCAGATCGATATCCCGTCTCAAATTTTTGTTTCATGCGTTTGCGGTGATCGTTCGCGTACCTCTGCTTTGCTTCAGGTGTTTCTCGTTCTGCAAGTCTGGTTATATAACTGTCAATGCCAATAAGTTGCCATACTCCAGGGCAGACTGCAGTCTCAGAATGTGGAGATACCCCTCTAGGATGATGATCACAAGACATACTAAAGCAAGCAAGCTGCGCTTCTCGAGGAGGTTCGAGAACGATATCGTAGAACATTTTATGACCAGAAGGGCGAGACAGGGTCTTGTATAAGTTAAATAGCAGCGATGTCAGTAAGACGGTAAACAATTGCCCACACGTGCATCGCTCAGCGAACCAACGTTCACACAGGAACACGAAAATGAGAAGCTCGATCTCATTTATAAAAATATCTAAGCTGGTAGGGGAGAAGCTAGCCTTAAGTACGGTAGTCATTGGTAGCATCGCATGGCTTTGTTTCAGGACCGAGGATCAAGCGTGGCTGTCCAGAACCGCGAACTAAACCGCGAACTCATGACTTCATCCTCCAACCACGAGAGCAATAAAATTGCCTGTGACTTGTGACACACACCGAACTGAACCGCCACAGCCACTCTTTCCCCAATCAGGTATAGGGCAGCTAGCCATCTTGATTCTCAAACCTCCCTACCTAGCACAAAAACCCAAGACTGAATCGCTTCGACAGTCTGCGAAACCGCAACGACCCACATAGGCCTTAAATACGAAGTGCCCACGAGATCGAATTTTATATCATACATGAAAGAACATGGTCGATATTGATGTTTCGTACAGCAATTGCTGCTCAACCACTAGAGACATGCAGTCCATCGTGCATATTATTTGTTCATCCACTCTTCTTTGTCATCAAAGGATGCCTCATGGTAGGGGTTCCTCCCAAGCCAATCGTCTGGATCAAAAAAGTGCCCATAATCACGATAAAATTGAGTCAGGGTTTCGTTCAGGCCTTTGCCAGTCAGCAATGCTTCTTCTCTTAGTGACTATTTTGAACATACTATCCAACGACATGGGATGCGCAGGTTGGAGGGAGAAGCGAGAAGTCCGCTCACGGAAAAGGATCAATGACTTCGGAATGGTGGTGCCTTGAAGGATAAAAAATCAGTTTCGCGCGTTTCGACCAACCGGGGTTTAATCACCTTTGGGTATACACAAATAATGAGGTTCGGCGGGGGCCTGACTACTTTCCACACTGTCCAAGTAATAATCAAACGACCTCCGTGTGATCTCTTGCATAAAGTGCGTATTTGGCATGAGTAATGCTCCATTAGAAACTTAATACGTTAGCAAGCAAAGAATATCAGGTTGCGTTCGCACACATACAATCGGCAGTAATATTTGGGTGCACCAAGCCGTCCGCAGAGATTTCTATTCCATCCTCGTATTCCCAGTCATCTTGTCCAAAAGCTCTGTCATAAAGCTTTGAGTCGCGGTGGATCTGAAATCGATGCAGGCTTGCTGGAAAAGTTTGGTGCGTCGACACGTACGAGAAAGCTCGACGATTTGGTAAACGTGAAATGCCAAGCGCAGGAGCCTGCGCGTGACGAAGGAAATTTTGAAACATCGCTATGTAGATGATATTGTCTTGGACCAAGGAGCCCGAAACGGAAGAAATTTCGTTGAGATATATTTTTGATGACAAACCAATCACATGACTAAGAGCAGATGTCGGACCGAACGAATCAGGCCATATCTTCCACAATGGGACGGCCAATCGTAGCAAACTGTCTGAATTCCAACCCATCCCCAGTGCGAACAATTTAAGAGGAGTAAACCTGACTAGGCAAAACCTGTAACCAAACTAAATACAAATACTGGCAGAATTTCTTTGCTCCAACTGTGCATCCACTTTGTCCAAGAGCAGACTGGCCAACTGGAGGTATCGTCACGGGTAAGGAGGCCTTGACACAAGAAGAATCCACCGAGCATCAATTGAGAGACAGCACGAATAGTCCATTGTGCTTTCTGTTCCCCATAAACATCTATCCAATAGACATGCTGGCCTAATTGCTTCACAAGGAATTGGGTGAGGTCATGGCCATGCCCGCTTCTACGCTTAAAGGAACTCCTTTCCCCCTGTCGTCGAATGTTATTCCCCTTCTGTTTGGAAATATTCATCCTCTCTTCAAACAAACAAAATGGATAATCTCCGACGTCATTCAACACACGAGCCTGCTGTTTCCATTGCAGGGCGTCTGTCTTTCTCACAGCTGCTCTTCATCATTTCCTATGTGATTCTTGAATCTTCTCTACCGGCAAGATTGGGCGATTCTCGTCAACTCAACGACATACTCAATCGCAAATAGGGCGATTGGGAGCCTTATATTGGACGAGAAAGTTTCTCCGACATGAAATCACGACCATGGCAGTCAGTGGATCAGGGGACGCGGCAAAACTGGGCCATGATTCGGAATGACTTGATACAGTGGGGTTATATCGAGTCAAATATTTCGCTAGACGCACTTCGCAGGTGCCTCTGTCGCATACTTCGCCGAATCGAACAGATATCCTCCCAAGGCTTGAATGCACTACAGCCGCGAAGCGAATCCACATCACCATTTACAATCATCGGAGAGAAGGCGAATTTAGTTCTTATCGGGATCAGTCTTTCTATCACTTCGTCACCGGTTGAAAAGAACACCCTCTTGTCATGCACCTTGGGGCCAGAATATGTCCTCAAGGAGATGTTTTCACAGCTCCATGAGTCCCCGTTGTTCGTGGACGGTATAGCGCTATGCCAACTGAGATCAGCTATGGAATCTCTGGGCATATTGCTCGCCCAGGAAGATGACTCACCACCTTCCACGTCTGAGCCAGCCATTCACCATCATATACAAAGGAAAGATTCCACAAAACAAAAATTCGAAGTACAAAGTCACCAGACAGCCTATATGGAGAATTCATTCACATATGGGACCAATTGTGCTACGGAGCGATATACACAAGCGAACATTGAGAAGGAATATATTGAATTGGGTTATGAGGCTATAAAGCAAGAAAGGCGTCTGCAAAGTTTTAGGCGAGGAACTCAAACGGATCGGGATAGCTCTGGTTGACTACACCATTGGAATCACAGATCTGATAAAGGTGCTAGAAGCGACAGCATGAATAAATGGTTCTACGTACGTGAAATGTCGATTGCTTTGCGTTATACGGGGCTAGTTTGAATTACCATTTTCTTCAAACATATTCTGTCTATTCCGTCGAGCCTATCAACACAAGTCAGGACTAGCACAAGGTATGATGAGGATTAGGGCACGTTCCCCTCGTATATCTCGCCCGGGTGTAGCTAGTAAGCTAGTATTATCCACATTTTGAGTCATATATGTGGAGATAGCGTCAAGCAGTGCAAACCATATGGCAAGCACGGCCAGGTTAAACAGGGGGCGGGAACTGTAAAAGAGCGGTGTCCATGTCTAGGCAGGTCTAGACCCTTTATTGAGATATTTATTGCGTATATATACCCCTTCCTTCCCATTTCCTCTATTCACTCTCGCATTTCAAAAGTTTCTTTCTCTATCCCCCAGTACAAGCCCATTCTCAACCCACCTCAACTATGGGTTACGCAGTCGAAGAAGTCGATATCCCCTTTGCCAACCTTCAAGCAAAGAACCCCGATATTAAGCGATTTTCAGCGAGCACCATTATATTCTGCCGTGACCCACATAACCCAACCGAGCCATACGCTTTCCTGTGCCAGCGTGCACACTGGGACCACTCGCTAGGAAAGGCGAACTCGTGGGCTGGAAGCTGGGAGACACCCGGGGGAAGTCATGACCATGGCGAAAGCATACTTGACACTGCAATACGCGAGACTAGAGAAGAGGCCATCAAGTTGAATCCGGATGAGCACATGGATTTCTGTTGGGCCACAGAAGCACAAATCCGGGATTCTCTTCCCTACGATGCGGAAAAACCTCAACAGGAAGGACTTGTCATGCTTGAAAACAAGAAAAAGACTATCCTCGATGCTTTCAAGCAACTTCAGGATTCCCAGCTTGATATGATCGTGAGGTCAGGAGAACCTCGCGAGTAGTTTGCTACGTCGCCAATCTCAGGCGTTGAATCCCTGGCAACCTACAGAGAGCTACTCCTGTGTGCTAGGCTAATCTGAATTCATATTAGGGATGCAGTTTCCCTTTTCCTTGATTTTCCTGCACCTAGAGCGCATAATGCTAGGAATAGTGGAAAGATTAGTGATATTCGTTAAAGGCGACACCACGGGGAAGTGCAGATAACCGATCAGAACAATATTGACCTGATCAGGCTAGATCACTCATACTCGCTTGGCCTCGGGCATTGGTGCTTTACACCGAGGCCTCTTCAGTGACCTGAGCCGGTCTGTAGTAGGACGACTATCCAGCTTGGGTCGGTGAAAGTTGGCGAGCAAGAGGCTGCGAAGAAACAAAAGGCGGAGAAGAGGACCAGAGCCCAGGCCGAGCAAGACGCCATGAAGAAGCGCAAGGTAGCTTAAGGCTGTTCCTCCTGGTAAGACGCTGGCCAAGTTTAATGACCAGTGGTTTTAGGAAAAGACTCACTCCAATATCCAATATCCAATAAACACGGATGAATCCAGGCCAAGCGGTTGACCAATCGGATTTGAAGCGGGGCTGCAGCAGTCATTGTTTGCTACGGTACAGTACTGTACAATTTAAGCCAAGTGGAGCCAAGTCTGGAGTTTCTGATTTGTTAATCCTCTCTGTTGGCGTAGAGTAGCAAACAAAGAAAAGGACCAGCCCAAATATGCGGCATATCGACCGCTTTTATAGCTCTTTCGTCCACGTTTGGCTCTTACTCCTTTCTCCTATCCTCGCTGTCGATCCTCAACTTCTATCTCAAATAGTCTCTCCATTGCCCTACTAAGCGTTTACCCATATTCAATCTATCTCGGTTATTTTATACAATACTCCTTCTATATATAAGGAAAGCCGGTTATCCGCGACCTCGCTATGGCCCAGAGACAAACCATCCGTCGCATTTTACCGGCAAACAAAGATTCCAACACCCCAGTTCCAAACATGGGCTCATCGGATGAACGGCGACACAGAACCTCTATGGCATGCAGAAAATGCAAGGAAAAAAGGACCAAGGTCAGGAGTATAAGGCCAGGGCCTAATGGATCGAACTGACAAATTTTCCATAGTGCTCAGGAACAAAACCATGTACGAGCTGCGCGACCAAGGCTTGCGACTGTATATACGAGCCAAGTCGTGATCGAAGACGAAAATCCTATGTGGCTGAGCTTTCAAACTTCCAATCTGCTCTCCATAGATTGATCAATCGGATTCGCGGCGGAACAACCGACGAGGTATTACAGCTAGTGTGGGAGATCCGAAGCTTTTCGACAGATCAGGATGCAATCAACTTTCTTATACAATTGCGGGATGAGCAGTAGCTTCCGGCCTTACGAAATGGCACTGCAAGAGAAGCCGAATGTGCTTCAACCATTCCATCCTCTATATCGGTGATAATCAAACAGCCATTGAGGTCGCCCCAGAACTTATTGCGCTACTGTGAAATGCCTATAATTAGGAGAGCAGTGTCGCAGTGAAGCATCTTTCACTGCAAACCGCATTTACTTAGCACACGAAAGCGATATTTATTGAAAATAAAGTGATAAAAAAGCCTAGAATCCTTAGCCACCATCCATTAAACTTTCAATATCGTCGAGTCCCTAGAAGAGCTTGGACGATAGTCACTACTTTGACTTTCCCGTTTCCTGGCCCAAATCTTCTTGCTGTGTCCGTCATCTTCTGAGCTTGGGTGTTCCGAAGGTGTCTGGAGTCGACGGCGCTTTCGAGTACTGGGATCAATCTGATTAACGAGATCTGTCCGCTCAGTCTGTAATCGCTGCCTGGTTTCGGCATTTGAGAGAAAGTCGCAAAGTTGACGAGATGAGATGTATATTTCTTTGTCGAGGTTGCTATATTCCTGCGACAGCATCTTCGGCGCAAAAATAGTTTAGGGAAAACCGCAGTGCTACTCCTTCAGCAGGCGTTCCATTGTCTGTTCGAAAGGTTTGTGACATGTAAGCCCTTCAAAATTCCATCGGTCTTTTGGTAGGAACAAACCTTTGCTTCTATAACCGCCTTTGCACAAAGCTCGCTCATGCCATTCAACTGAAGATACTCAGGCCGCCAGACAGTGAAAGTTGCTTTCTGGGAACCCTGATAGTCAACATACAAGGCGATGACCATATTTATACTCCCATCCGTGTTTAGTATATAATCATCGGCTAGATAGGAAACCCTTTGGCTTTTCTGGGAAGAGCAAACCTCCAAACCAACACCCGGATAAAGTGCTCGGTCGTACCCAAATATCTGGCTCGCGCCTCGAGAAAATCTGCTTCCTAGCATTCGTATCTTCGGGTAAAAGGATTCTGGATGTAGCAAAATGCTTGACCCCGCGAGTGAAATCTCCGATAGGGCCGTCATGCTGTTCGAATTCCTTAATTTGTTGTAATATACCATCGGCTACATTGGCAGCAAATATTTCATGTAAGGGACATGGCATTCGGACCGTAAGGCGGTGGTGATATCGTACCTATGATGGAATTTTAGCTATGTTTCTCTGCCGGGTAGCTATGGAGCACTTACCGAACTTTGTCTTCAACGTAGTTCCAAAGGGGTTTATCGACATCCAATTGATAAAGTACCTGGGTATAGCTCTGCGGTTTAAGTCGAATTTCCCACCATGGGCTCAGTTTGTGGTGTGCAAGATGAAATCGTAGACGCTTCACGACGCGCTCGGCCTTCCGTGACACGGCTTTTTCTGTCGTGGGTGGTGGCGAAAAAGGAAGCTCGAAGACACTCCCAGGTGGAGTGATATCAGCTGCCATAGGGTGGCTGCGAAGTTGGGCCAGCTATGTGATGGAATTTGGCAGGGAAATTCGGATGGTTGCGCCCCAAGGTCTGAGCGTGGATGTCACGTGTATTACGAACTCTCCTAGGCCCCGGCAACAGGGGAAAGACTGACTGATGACCCCCGATTTGTCAGGGAATGCCTGATTGATTCCGGTGGACCCGCTAGCATGGTCGTTTTCCCGAGGCAAAAGGGGGCCGTTTCCACTCCGCAAGCCATGAGGGTGAAATTTTGCCAAGGGCGTTAACTGCACAAGATCGTCACATCGCCCCCATCCAATAGAATTGTCGAGTTCATCAGCGCCCAAATTAGCTCGTGGGCCCGTTTGTGATCAATTTCTCGGTGTCCTGTCCGCGCGCACCAGTTCAATGCATTATTGACTCATCTGACCTATGATGTGACAGATGGAGCATGCTGCCCATGAGGAGCCATGACCCAAAATTCTGGTTCCCATTGACTCCGACATGCCATCCACTTCATGAGCTCATGCCGATAGAAGGTTGGTGATCCGCAACGGATGGCTTCCCCGTGATAGTTCGTGGCACGACTTGTATTCTTGAGGGTCCGTGCTCAACAGACCCTGCACATTAAATGCTTTTCTCCAAGACCCTCAGAAACCCATACGGAGAAAAAGTCGTCCCTAAAATTCACTCCACAGCCAGCACAGCAAACCCTTCACATTATGCTTGGACAACTTCCACTCGAGATCCTTTTAATGGTTCTTCAGAATGTAAGCTCATCGATTTCGTCATTTGATAACTGGCTAAGTAACTCTAGTGTGATAGATCCGTCCTCTATACATAGCATTTGCTTGGTGTCGAAAATGTTTCACACGATTGCGGCCCCTCTCCTATTCCGAACGGTCACCATCCATGCACTAGATGAGGAAGACTTGAGCCACATAAATGCAGCGTCACTTGTTGCATTTAGCTCCCCATATCTTCTTCATACGACGAGCTTTTGGCCATTTATGCTTTAACCAATTTCCCGGTCAAAATGATCTCTTCCATTGGCAAGGCTGTCTTTGTTGCTATGATGTTTGCCGATACTGTTTTGTCTGCGCCGCTAGATCACTGTTCCAACACCTCCGATATTGTCTTGGCCACAACTAATGTAAGGTATACCGTCACTGTGATTCCGATGAGAGATCTAGCTCTAAGTATTCACTCCTCGAATATTTGGCAACAAAACCAGGCCACTTCCACTTCATCTGCAGTCGCTGCTGACTCAATTCAGTTTGAGAAGCTAGCCTCTGTTTCCGCTTTCAAGGCTAGAGTTTCATCCGTGCAAGACGCTGCTGAAGGTTCTGGCCACGGCAGCAGTGACTTCATAGCAGTCCTTGCTCTGAACATTCTCCTTGCACTGGTGACCTGACTTACTATGAGACGGCCATGAGTGCTTCTTCACCAAGTGCATGCAATACTATCAACGACGGCGGAAAAGATTTTGTGCTTGCTTTGCCCCGCGGAATCATGGCAGAGTCTGACTGCGGAAAGACAGTTCACATTGAATATGGCGAGAAAAGTTATACCGGTACCGTTGTCGACAAATGCATAGGCTGCAACAATCAGTCCATTGACCTTTCCCGTGCATTGTTCCAAGAGTTTGCCTCGTTAAATGAGGGCCGTCTATCGGGTGCAACTTGGTATAGAGTAGAATAAGGCCCTTCGTGCAAATCGCAAATTCTATTGGCTGCCGATCCTTCAAGTTTGTATATCCAGATAGTAATACATGGAAATGCAAAAACCGAAACTATTTATTTTGACTTGCAGTATAGCTCCTTTCAACAATGGTAGGCGATGCAAGCAGGTTGGCCACCTACTAGATCATCTTCAGTGTCAAACCAAGAAGCCAGTTTTTGAACAGCCATTTTAAACGTGTTTATGCACGACTTATTTAAATCAAAAAATTCACATGTGAAAAGTTTCCGGATACGCCCGATACGCCTTTTTGTTTTTTTAATTTAGAGAATCACCTGCATTAAGCTCCCTTTCGTACGCTTCACTTATTTCCATTTTAACCTGCAATCAGAGTATGGAGGACTTCTATTTTGTTGGCGATTTGGAAATAATTGATAAATTGAGGACTGCAGACTCATAGAATAAGAAACAATGCTCCAACTTTACACCATTTAAACATGCCAGCGAATCCGTAATCAATCGTGCACTGAGAAAACATATTTGAGGACTACTTATATCTCGTCAACTTGAGCACTCACATTGGGCCCTCACTTTTGTATTGTGTTTCTGAACATTAGAGTCCCTAGTTGCATGCTGCGTCTATATAAACCATCGAATCACCTGCCTGCTGGATTAAGTGTGAAGGCGACAATAAGAGCCTGAAGAGTCCAGAATATTGGTCCATATCATATGTCGCCGCTATTGTTCGTGGGATCCTTCCTTCTACTGATCGAATTATTTCACTTTGAATCATAGGCTCTCTGGTCATACGCATCACTAATGGGGCTCGTAAGTTTTGGCTGGGAGGTCTAGACAAGATCTGAACGCCTCCGGTGATTGCCCGACTCTTCATCAAAAGCTCTCCTTGCTACCATAATCAATTTCTGCCTCCTTAGAATACAAGACCCTCCAAATCAGTTGCGCTGGGGAAGACGCGCCGATGTATTATGTCGTGCCACTGCTTTATACGTACAGTTGGTCTGAGTCTTATAAAGTCGAATAGCGATCTGGTGCTTTGGTCGAAATCACAGACGGGCCAGTGCAGTGGGATCGACGTCAACTCGTGCTACCCAACCAATGCCTTCTGTGCGCCGGTTAACCGCAATTAGGAAAGCCCTGTCTTCGTCTCCAAATCGCCTTGACCCCGATAAAAGCTCCGGTCGCTTCACACGACTTCTGACCGGCAGTCCGCATTCTCATGTCCGGAAAGCAGGCGACGCCAGTAACCGGCACCCACAATCCTTGAAGGGTTTTAGTTCAAAATCCCCGAAAAGAATGGACGGCGGACTCGCTCGCCCTTCTTGGTTTGGTCGGCACCTCTGTTCTGCCTATCCACAACGAGGGATGATCGAAGGCTGCTTTTGGAAGCGTTAGCAGCTGTAAACTGCACCTCATGGGGTGGTTGAGCTGGCAGTTGACCAGGTGATGTGTTCCCTTCGATGTTGCTCAGAGGACTTTGGTTCAGTATTCTCGCCTGAATGTTTCCACCTATAGAATTTCTATGCCCGGAAGTCTCCTGCGCCGATTCGCAAACGTGGGTTCTCCCACTCGGTATTGATTTTTCGGCAGTGCTCACTGCGACACCAGATTCAGGCAAGTTCTGCTGAGGGTTGTCTGCTCGCGACTCGCTAGGGCCACCAACCCCACCATGCATCAAACCATGCTCGGCAGCATTCCTCAAACCACCAGGACCACAACGGGCAGGTTGAGCATCTTCCACTGAGCGGCCAGGGCTGTCACTGTCCTGGCTCGGGGCGTGTCCCTCTGTGTCTTCTGTGAAGCTCTTTGAAGGACTCGGATAATGCTCATTTGGTCGATACACTGCCACCGATTTCGGACCAGGTTTTGCACCTGAGGTCAAGAGTGATCGAGGCCTACCAGATGGTTCCCTTGGCTGAGCACATGGCGCATGATCATCGTTTGAGGTCACGTGGCTTTGTCGTCGAGATTCTTTCTTTTCTTCTCTTCGCTGGCGCTGACGTCTCATTTGATACCATATAGATCGAATGGCAGAGTAGCTCCGACGATGGCCAAAGTCGCGCTCAAACTGCATCACGACATCCTCCTCGGACAAACGTGACTGAGATTCGAACCACTGGAAGACGCGGCGTTTCTGCTCAGGATCCCAACGACGGTTGTTGGCAATTAAGGGCAGAGTTTCAGCTTCAGGCCGATGTTAGCTGTGTCATCTCCAGTCGTACTTGCCTTGGGACCATTGCTCACCAGACCGTTTTTCGGTGCAATTGGGCGTACATACATCTTCCTCAGCAGACACAACGCCTTGAGGATCGGAATTTGCATTGGCCTGCGTCATTGATTAGATATGTTGCCACATTGGAATAACGATGGGAATGACTCACATTTTCTGATGCGCGATCTGGTTGCAAATTTCCACTCAGGATGCGGATCCTTTTCGCTGCTCTCATACGCATATCTTTGGTGACTTCCAGGACTGCGACATAGTATGAGTGACTAGACCGGGAACAACGCATGGTCTTAGACATGCTCACCTTCCGAGGCAAGTGTTTCCCACTTCGATATCTCCGTGATCGCCAGCGCCAGTGTCTCGAGTTCCGTCCGCACATCTTTCTCGTAGGACCACGGATGAACAAGCCGCTGAGGTAGGCCAGTCAAGAGCAACTCATGCTGATAATTAGATAGCTGAACCCAGACCCCCTGATCATGGAGCCGACAGTGGTATGTACCACCCTGCTGGGGTTCGGCTTGGTAGTCCGTTTCTTGAACGACATCAAGCCAGCTGACACTTCCCCCGCATCCACCGTTCTCGGGACCAAGTACGGAGGGACGAGGGACTTTGAATATTTCACAGATCCCACGAGCCACGTCGTCACTTATGAGAGGCACCCCCAAATGCCGAGCAAAACTTTCGCCTCCCTCCAGGAGATCCCGGTATGAATGCGATCGTTCCAGAATCAAATGGAACATCTCTCGCGAAGGGTGGAAATGGCGCAGCCGTACATCCTCTTTCTGAACCAAGTGTCTCGAGTTACATCCGTCCACGTCGGCGCTCTTCTCCGGGTTTGGGGCCCCATCAGTGTCGGCATTCATCTAGCACGGTTGAATCTAAATAAGTGGGCGTCAAAAAACAGTCGAAAAAAGGAAGCGGGGCAAATATGGACCTTTTCCTTATGAAAATAACAGTACCGGGTGATATAGACTCAACAAGTTGTCTTGGGCTCTGGGATTGGTGTCCAAGATGGGCTACAGGGCATTGCCAATTTATAAAAATCCCCAAAGCACGCTAGTTCCGAATTAGGGCCTGCGTATCACGTCCCAGTATTTCGAAGTGAAAGGTCGAGACGATCCGTCGTAAAATACCACTAGGGAACAGAGTGGGCCTTGGGTATTTTCCGTGGTGCAATGCGTCCATTATTCTCCATCACGATGCCATTTATACTTGTCATATCGTGTTAAATGAAGTGAAATAATCAGTCGGACGCAATCCGCAGAATGGCTTACGCGTCCTAGTGCCGGCCACCGATGGCAAGCTGACGCAGTATATTAACCGAAACCCAACTAACATGACTCGGTGTTTTTGACTAGCCTTGTAACTACAATGTCAAGTAAGATCCATCTCATTTCCAGACAACTTATCTGGCATCGGTTGCAAATATTTGCATATAATTTGGTTTCGGGGCGAAACTTGTTTGCACTTGTCTTGGAGAGAGAAAGAAAGTCCCTTCCGTCACCCGCAGCCCTTACACGAGGGAAGGGAAATCGGTTACCGCCAGCTATCCGGTGTTATTTGATTGGATCACATTGAGCTGTCTATGGTCGGAGTTCGAGGTTGCTAACATAATCGTTCTCACGATACTGGTGTCATTTCAATCTTCTCCTTCCCTAAATCTTCGTGCGCATCTCATTTTATTGACGGATGCAAGTAACTGAGGCCAACGAGCTGTTCGATATGGAAGGCTGTTATAATTCAGTGCGTCTTGGATCTGTTCCGTTCTTCCGCGAAATGCTCTTTGTGTTGCTTTTTTTCTTTAGTAGAGAAATAAAATCCACATGCCAGAATACCCGCACATTACCTCGGCTATCGGAATTGGCCAAAACGTACTGGAGGGGCATCTATTCAACTCATTTTCTTGCTGTCGTTTTCTTGGGCACTCGATTAGTTACAGATTGGGGATTAATGTCCATGCAGGTTGCAAGTCTAGTAGGAATGGGATGCTCACTTTGTGGAATAGGAACAGGTCAAATCTGGGTAAAGCCGGAATGCTAGCACCCAATTGAAGATGATGACCTGATCAGCCGTATGTAATTGAGGAGAGAAGGCCGGCTAGTTTCGTATGACCAAGAGAGTTGTATAATTGGGAACAGTGCAACTCTTGCCAACAAGGTGAGAATAATAAAGAAGCTCCAGCACTTAACACACACATGTGGTCACTTCTCCCAATGTTTCTGAGAGATAATCCTTTCCGTTGAGCGGCATAACCTGAATGGTGTATCGCTGCAGGCAATTTTTGTCAGCATATTACTTTAAGGGTCATAGTGAAGAAAGCGTTGACATCAGACGTGGAAAGTAAAATGACATAAACAGGGCATTAGCATACACAGATCGATAGGATAAACAGGGTGAATAACCAGGGTGGTGAATTAAACAGGGTGGATAACCAGGGTGGTTAACCAGGTGGTGAATTAAACAGTGTGGGATAACCAGGGTGGATAAACAGGGTGGATAAACAGGGTGGTGGGATAAACAGGGTGGTGGGATAAACAGGGTGGTGGGATAAACAGGGTGGTGCTACGATCAAAGTTAACGAGGGAAGGTTAGGCCGATGGCTTTCTAATTGCTTTGCGTTCACCACTCTGTTTATCCCACCACCCTGTTTAATTCACCACACTGTTTAATTCACCACACTGTTTAATTCACCACCTTGTTTATCCCACCACCCTTAGGTCTACGTAATTGATACGCCCAGTCTCCCATCATGTCGGGCGACCTTGTACGGGGACCTACCATCACGTTACCGCTCTGCTCACCCCGTCATCTTTTGAGCGTTCCTGTCAGTGTCACTTGATAAACATGACTCGCATATGCACAGCCCATCCTGATGTTCTAATTCGACTGTCCCACCGCGAACTTATTGTCTAGACCACCATTGTGGTCCTACGGGGAAACTGAACCGAGCTTCAAATGGGGAAATTCCCAAGACGATCTACTTAGTCATCTTCTCATCCTGAGATTTGAGATTTGAGATTTGAGCGGGTCGGAAATCGGGAACGCTTCCGCGAGCTTCGTCGATTAGCCCGCTTCAGTCGGAACGTAGTGTACAGAGGTAGATCCATCAGGGACATGGTAGACGGTAGACTGGAGCGTTGATCAGAGATGACCCACCGCACCACGAACTTAGACTGTAGGATCCACCCGACTGTGGGGCCCTCGCACTTGTCTGTAATATTCAGTGGGGCCATTACTGTCCCCTGTCGATCTGGAAAGATTCCAATACTGAGGCCTGGGCTTGGATTACCTCAGTGCACATCCCAGATGGAATCCTTCAAAAATCTGGCGACTTTGTGCGGTGGGTTATGTGTTAGCGGATCTGTGAGTCGTATCGCCTGCCTGCTCCAGCTATTCGTCTATGGTGACATTCTACTTCCCACCAGATGGAGAAAGATGTGCAGCTCTCTTACTCAACAGGGGCAACGGGAAATGACTTCCCGTGGAGTTGACTATTCAAGGGAAAGCTGCTGTCGCTCGGAAGCCCCGGGATTAGCGCCATATCTTTATGTCATCCTAGGCTACAAGGGACAGAAGTTGCGCACTCTTTGTCTGTAGTAGTCTGAATACGACATGCCCAGCCTATCCCCTGAGTCTGCGCCCATCATCTCATTCAGTAGGATCCCTCGCTGTTAGCACTATTGTGGGGTTCTCCATCCTCGCGCTTCACTTTACTTTTTAGCAACTGGAATCCCGTCATTCGTAGTGGACAAAAATCAGTCCGAGTAAGGAACCTCGCGCTCTTAGGCTAATCGTAAGTTGATGACCTCTGCGCGGCGTTTTTTTTTTCTATATTGCACATTTTAGCCTCCGTACAGCTCGACGGTGAGAGGAAGAGCAATAATCCACGCCAATAGGCATCAGATGAGCAGAGATATGCTCTTGAGTATATTAGTCTAGATCTATCTCATGTTCTCACCACGTGCTCTCTAGAATACATACATATATATATATATATATATTAATGCATGTACGTTGGAGGTTGATTGTCGTATTGGATGAGATAACCAAGTCCCAATCAATTACTGTACATAGGAATATGATCTGTTTCAATGCCCGCAAGTGTGATCTAGTAAACCTGGATCCCTACATCTCATGTTGTGCTTCAGGCCCCTTCTTTCTCTCCGAGTCTCTCCGGCGATCAGCGACTCTGCGGATTGCTCTCCATAGTTGTTCCATCAATCGAGGTTGCTCTCGTCGTAGCAATAGTGGACTGGAAAGCTCGTATCCTGCGACAAGTACTTTTGTCAGCTTATCCTCGAGTCTGCGCGAACTATAGATCTCACTGGGACAACCTCGACGTGACATAGACAACCGGCTATCTTTGAGTGGCATTGCGGCGATATCGTCGGCTTGTAGGATAGTAGACGGCGAGGACTGCTCGCATCGGCCACGCAGCCCTTGCCGCAGCCCTTGCTCATACGGTCTCGATCCATGCACTAGCTGCCAGAGGATTCGAGTCCTTGTGCGGGGAGCTCTCGGCCGGACAGGCAAAGTGGGGGCAGGAAAGCCTTGCAATTCTCGATGCCGACGATGGCGTGCCCGACGAGCAGCTGAGCGGTGGTATGTGGGCAGTCTCCCGTCGGGGTTACTGGGAGGTTTAATCAGTTGGTTGAGCTTGCTCCGCAGTCCTTCGGGCGTCCTTGGAAGATTATATTGCCTGAAATATGCCTCGGACTTGGCCTTCCAGGACAGCATGCTATGCTGGGATAACCACCGTGGAAGGTTTTCTACCTCCCATGGGTTCCAAGGGATATAGTCTGCTTTGGGCATTGTGTGAGAAAGGATTGTGGGGATTGGGGAAACAGGTAGGAAATGTAGCCACGGACAGAATTTTGTCGAGGGCATGACCGATGGGTGGGTAACTGTTATAGCTTAGCTGGTGATGGTATCGGTTCAAGGCTCCAAGGATACCCCTGCAAACTATGGGTAAAACCAGCGGAATCAACAATGTCTCGGTGAATCTTTTAACTGGGTATTGTTTGCCCAGCTTAGGCCGGTCCCATGTTACCTGCTCCGGGCCTGGTGAACCTTGCTACGTTACTAGACTAAGGCCCGCCCCTCAAAAAGTCTTATCACCAGTTATGCAACTGTAGTCCTCCTTAGCTGGTAAAAATAGCAATATAACCATCAAGTCTCCGACGGCCGAGGAAATATGGACAAGGGCATGTCTCAACTTTTTTAACCAGTAGATGGTGAACTTTTCGTGCAATACAAAGGTCGAAAGGAAATGTATAGGTTTCAACGTGCTGCTAATGCACACACTGCAGTCATCTCTTTGTGTTCACGTCAAGACATGGCTTCATTCACGGCCCCCGGGTATTTGAGACTTCCGAGATTAATGGAGAGTCTTCTGAAGGCCGACCATATAGGAGATCAGTAGGGGAATATCGCGAGGCGAATAGACAGACCCACAGTATAGAAATTCTTTGTACCCATTTATTGGGGTTCAGCTATGACAGTCTTGGCCCCAGCGGGCCGTACAGTATCCAACTAAACGAAATCTTCCCTATTCGCACAAGCTGAGGGGCCTAGACCCCTAATACCGCTAGCCAAGGCTGTTTCTGTTACCATATTATACTTTAGTACGGTTCCTCGTCTCCTGGTTGGATATAAATGTAGTCCAATCTCCCTTCCAGCAGAACGGCTTGACAACTTTCCTTCACTCCTACCTTTCCAGTCGCCCTAGCAAGATGGTCAATCCAGGAGATGACCAGTCCAGCAGCGAGCCAGTTAGTCTCCTCGGCGAACTGCAGCACATGTTGATGGTATCACACTCGCCTAGTAAGACGGGAGACAGGAGCTCGACAAACTCTCCCGAGCTTCCGCAGGAGGATGAACATCGGTCACATGCCTCGGGTGATAATTTATGTGACGAGAATGATGTGGCGGACATGGACGAAGACAACCAGGAGGAGGAGCAGCAACCATGGGCGATGGAGACGGAAAGCGTGGTCGACCATGAGCCGGGCCCATCACAAGATCCTATGTCGAACATCACCGGAGATCCGGTGGCATATACTTTGATTAGAGAGTATGTCTTTCTGGGATTTTATCTACTGTTAAGGTGTTCATACTGACAATTCCTAGCTTAGACGACCGAGTCCAGTGGGTATCATCCGGATCGCTCGCACTGGTTTCCCCCCCCCCCCCTCAAGTCATCGTCCTAACCTAAAACACTAGAAACAACGAGGATCAGCTGAAAAAGCAAGGCACTTTCAACGACAGTACCCACCAGAGCATGACCACAATGTCGCACAAAATCCGCGCACTGGAGGCGAAGGTCGACCGCTTGCAAGAAATGATAAATGACTTATGCAAGTCCCAGAGCATGCCAGCTGTGGAGAGAAAGGCGGTACGCAGTAAGCGCTCAACGCAATAGGAATACAACTTCTCGTGGATACATCAGCTAGCTCGCCGCTACGCGCTGCGGTTGAGAAAAAACGCGCCGGGTCACGGCAAATGGGACTGTACCGTGAGGCTACGAAAGGAATGTAATAGATTACAAGGCAGGATGGCCGTAGGAAGTTGTACAGTATGATCCGAATCTAGACCAGATTTTCGATTCCCTTTCAGCTCATGTAGATGATCCCTGCCCGGAAAAACCCCCCAGGCGATAGACAGACGGTAAGCTCCGGCCCCTCCTCTCCTCCTCTGGGCACGAATTGGTGGTTGGCTTCTGGCGCACAGACCTAATGCGTGCCGTTTGGTAGAGCTTTTTGTTGACCACCGTCATCCGGCGCAACGGCAGTGTCAGGCACGATCCCATGGCTGGTGTTGAGATGATCGGCGATGTGGGTCAAATAAACCAACCACGGCACGGCCAGATTAACTTGGCTTCGGTCCAAGCAGCCCGTGGCCCGCGAATCCAGTCAGCAGCGCTAAGTTGGGTCTCCACGTCCCGTTCCTGCCGCCCTCCCCCCGTCATCTCACTTCGGTGACGGAGGATCGACGGCAAAACTAGCCCGCAGAATTTGATCGGACAATAGCAAAGGGCGTTGAACCAATGCATATTAAAAGGCCGATGCGAGTAAGACCCAGGAATTGCCCATCGCCAAATGGAAGGAACCACTGGGCTTAATCCCAGGTGCCGATATCTGTGCTAGGTCGAAACCGCTGCGTCACGGAAAGCTTGTAATTCCAAATAGAAGGATTGACACCCCAGTCGCGACGGGCCCTATCGGCTTTGATGTCGCACTTCCGTTCCGTCCCATGTTTCCCCCAAGCGCCCAAATTTCTCCGAACTCGTGTTCTCCATCACAGGTGGGTCATGGCTCGTGCAGGGTGGATCCAAACGGTGATCGCACCCATTCAAGTCCACACCCCGAGAAGGCAAGTAAATGGTGCGAACGGGTCGGACTCGCCTGTCTAACCTTACGCGAGGAGACGATATTGCCGAGACACGACAGCAAAGTTTTACTACCCTGTATCGCCGGGCAGGACCCCTGTCGTACCATTATGAATATGGCGCACTCCTCTTCCCTTCTTTGTGCCATCGTCTCTTTGGAAGGAGTCTGTATCGACGAGACCCAATTGTCTTGATGATCGGAAAAGGGAAGTGGGTCGATTCCATTGCTTGCCCGCTAACCGCGGCATCTCCGTCATCTATCAAAGCGAGGGTCTCACTCTAGCGTGGAGACGGCGGCAAAATGCGATGTGCCCCGTGCTCGCCAGCGTACAGATGTCACCCGAAGATCAACACAGCAACCGATTTGTCGAGGAAAATTCTTGAATCGTTGGTTTTACCAGCCAACTAGGTGCGATAGTAGAAAGAAAGCCCACTATTGGCCTCAAACTTGTCTCATAGCGGCCGCAATTTCTCGGCTTCCAATAAGCTCCCAGCCTTATCTTAAGGCGGCACAGAGTGTTTAGTGATCACCTGCTCCTGCCAGTCCGACTTTCTAGTCCACTATCCAAGGGACTGACTTGAGCCGAGCCAATTGCTCGTTGAGCGTTGCCGGCCCACAAACACGATCACTCGGTGCTAAGGATTGCTGAGGGATCGTTTCTCGTCGGGGTCCCGCGAGGGTAATCGGCATGAGGGTAAGGATTTCTCTGGCGACGGGTTAAGGCGTAATAATCCAACCTTGAACAAAATTCGCGCCTCGATTGATCTACAGCAGTCGCGCGTGATGGTATTACTGACAGGAGCCTGTAGGTTCAGCCTAGGATATGGATCCTGCGAGTCATACAC